GTGTTTAAGTAGTCTTCTTTTCTCAGGTGAAAATTTACAGTTTAGTATTTAAGATTAAATGTGAGACCGTTAAAATGGATCATCGCTCTTTGAGTGACAAGAACTAATTAATTTCAAGAGAATCTGAAAAGAAGCAGATTGGTATACATATGTTGAGATCGTCCGCCTAGCTAACAAAAGTACTTTTTGTGGAAGATAGGTGATCATGGGGAAAGGGGAAAAGGGGAAAAAAGGAAGAATGACGTATTGCGGTACACTACCTTTATTTAAAAGCTGTCGCTTTTAACGCCGGTAAAATTATTTAAATAGTGGTTATAAAGAGAGTTAAAACAGAAGTATAGTGTAGAAATGTGATCAGATACTAAATAAAGCGCCCAACCAATTTTTGTCAGCGTCCTCACCAAACAGAACTATGTCATCGTAATATTCTAAGTCAACAAGTAAATCACCCGGTAAAAGTTCAACTCTTGGGGATTTAGATGAGGAAAGCGTCATCTCTAATAGCACGTCTGCGATAAAGTTAAACAAGAATGGAGAGAGCGGACAGCCCTGACGAAGTTGTGTCGCACAGACTTGTTTGCCTAGTATACATATATATATATATATATATATATATATATACAACTATACTAAGTATAAATGAGGAGAGGGTGTTGTTGGTAGAGGGGACTCGAACGTAGGACCTTCGGTTTCGTACACGAATACCCAACCTCTAAATCATTAAATGTATGTGATTTATTATTAATAATTAAAACAAACCTGTTTATAATTTTTACAATCTCCATTACATGTATTCGTTTTAAAATCATAATTTTTATGTTCTTCTAACCAATCCTTCATTGCCCTATAAAATGTAATAGAGTTAAATCATATTGCATAATTATAAATCTACCTTTCAATTGTTGGATAATCGCCTAGATTTTGTCCAATGGATTCAAAATCACCAATAATAAAATCATTTGGATCATTTGAATCATATTGACATCGTTTAGCTTGTTGTTTGGCTTTGTCAGCTAGAAGTTTATTCCATTTCTTAAGAATAATAGATCATAAAAACTGTATAGAATACAATGTATTTAATAAGATAATAATGAGAAAATCGAATGGAAATAGGTAAAGGGGCTTATTACTTATGGATCATTTTACAGAACGTTTTACTTATTCTATAAATAAGAATATGATGTAATCAGTTCGACTAAACTGTGGTCGGATAGTAGGGATGGCCTATGTGTGTATGCCATTACTTTCATTATAATCTGATTAAATTAATGCTATCCATCTTTCTTTTTCTTCTGATGGTTGACTAGATTATGAAGACCTCGATATCTGACGGGAAGCAAGAAATACAATGGACAGGTTAAATGCAACTAGACGTTTTGCACTTTGCAGATAACCTGACCCTTCTATCCCATACACACGAACAAATGCAGGTCAAAATAAACAGTGTAGCAGGAACCTCTGCATCAGTAGACCTAAACATATACAAAGGAAAAAGTAACATCCTCAAATATAACACGGAGAATATCAACGCAATCACACTCGATGGAGAAACTTTGGAAGCAGTGGAAACATTCACGTATCTGGATAGTATCATTAATGAACGTGGAGGATCTGATGCAGATGTGAAGGCATGGATTGGTGAAGTATTCCTACAAATGAACAATATATACAACTAAAAAAAACTCTCTGTTTCAACCAATATCAATGTCACAAGCTCCGTTACGAATGTCAAATCATTTCCACTGTACGGAGCTGAAATGTGGAGAACTATCACTATGATCATCAAGAAAAAACAAGATACTCAATATCCGTTGGCCGGATACCATCACTAACAACCTACCATGAGAGAGGACAAATCAACTTCCAGTTGAAGAGGAAATTAGAAAAAGATTATGGAAATGGATAGGACATACATTGTGGAGATCACCAAACTGTATCAGGAAGTAAGCGCTAACTTGGGATCGTGTAGGAAAAGGGAAAAGCGGAATGCCGAATAACACACTACATCAGGAATTGAAACAGACATGAAAAGGATGATTTTATTCAACAGTTCATGTTCATGAAATGATTAAGTACTTACATGAAACAGAAAGCTCTATTTACAGATCGATCAATATCGACTTACCATTTTTGCTAGTTTTACTGCTGGAGGTTGACCAGGTATCTTACAATTTTTTACATCTTTACGAACTTTTTTATGAAATCGGTAGATTTCACGTAGTTCTCCGGATAACTTTGTTTCCACATATAGAAATGTGAATAATAATAGTAAATAGCTAATTAGACTAATCTTAAACATATTTGATGAGAAGAATGAATAATTAACATATTTATACAATATATATATGACAATGACAGGTTATATATAGGGCATAGTTCGATTTCTGTATAATCATTATCAATCATTAAATGTTACTGATTATGAGTTGAAAGTGGAAGATTGTTTACTTGTCAATTCGGGCTTAATTTCCAGGAAGTAGTTGAAGAACTTACTTACTTACTTACACCTGTTACTCCTAATGGAGCATAGGCCGCCGACCAGCATTCTCCAACCCTCTCTGTCCTAAGCCTTCTTTTCTAGTTCCATCCAATTTCATTAACTACTATGGAAAAAAGGATATGTTTTAATAATGGATTCATCATTGTATAATAACGGTTAAATGCAACAATTAATCATTCTTATTGTCTATTGCTTATCTATGACAATAGAATAAGTTTGGTTTTTGGTAAGGAAGTTGGAGGAAAACTGTGTTTCCTAAACATACTACTTTTTCTAATGGAAACATATAACAAATATCGGTAATTGTTAGAATGCTAGGCTTGTAGAGATTGTGGTAAGCACAGGATGACTGTTTCATCCGAGTATGGAACTCCTCAACAGTGCGTGTCCACGATCCTGCACTCAAAAATTCGGATTTGGGGCCTTTGGTCTCGCGTGCAAACGTCTGATCTCTAGAACAATGAGCCAACATACAACGGTGTTAATTCCCACTAGTCACTGGCTTCAAGATGGATTTCCCCGAATTCTAATGAGAAGCCGTGACCAGTGGATTCTGATCTCTGTCGGATAGAGACAGGTATCTACCACGGACAATGGATGAAGGGTTACGCAATATTATGGATTGATTGAAGTTGAACATTTGTACCGTTAGATGTCGGCTCAGTGGTCTACGGGTTAAGCATTCACCCGCGAGACCGATGGTCTCGAGTTCGAGACCTGCATGCGGGATTGTGGATGCACACAGATAAGTAGTTCCATAATGGAATGAAACTGCCGTCAAGTGTCTCCAGGCTTCTAATGGTGATCTAGCATAGATCGACTCATAGATTCAACTATTAAAATATCGTTAACATGTATTTTATGATTTGCAATCAGTTCATTCATTCTTACTGAAAAATAACAGATTAACTTAGGACAAGTGCCTAAGATTTAGTGAGATGACAAAGTGACAACTAAGTGAATTGTAATAAAATCCAAGATCTATTGTTTTATTGATAATATCATAATACCCAACGCATCTTATTAGTTCACCATGTGAAGGGACAAGGGTATAATTAAACATGACATGTGAGAGTTAATTATTCCGATCAAAGCTATTGTCCCAACGTTATTTTATTGCGTTGCATTGTTAATAGTTTTATAACTAGGCAGCGTCAACCAAATGGTTGATAAGTCGACTAAGTTCATCAGTACATTATACACTTAACAGTTGAATTCATGAGTTACTTAAAACTAGAACACCATGGAAAAAATACGGCCGTTTCGTCCCAATATGGGGCTCCTCAGCAGTGCACATCCATGATCCCACCCTGCAAGATTCGAACCCAGAACCTATCGCTCTCGCTTGTAAATACTTAATTTCTAGACCAACTGAGCGGATATCCAGAGATGTTAATGTCTAACTTCAACGAACCCATCAAATCGAGCGACACATCTACCATAGTCTTCAGTGAGTTACTATCTCACAACAGACGCAGTTGAACTCCATCATTCACGGCTTTTCACTAGAACTCTAAAAAATATCTTATGAATTCAGTCATTAGTGAGAATATGATAATTATTATTAAAAGAGGGTTTTGTGGAGATTTTTAATGTTGGCGAGTCTCATACTAAGATGAAATAGCTGTCCAGTACTCGCAATTGATTGATCACTGGGTGGTGACCAATGTCATGCGTGTCTAGTCCTTTTTAGTGCAGATCGAATTCTATCGACCATGATGCAATGTGGCCACCACCCTAGATGATTCGACACTGCGTGCATTATTGTGAGATTAGATGGTGGTTGAAGGTGGTCGACAGAAAACCTTGGACCCGGGTTTCGTGCTACTTGGCACTCGTCCGCAAAACGTACCTGTAATCCTGAGGGAAATAGTGCTCCCTGACGGATTTGATCCTGTGTCACCCAACTTCACAGTCAGAGACGTTACCATTGAGCTATCCGAGATCGAATCCGTCGGGAAGCACCATTTCCCTCAAGATTACAATTACACCTTGCGGACGAGTGCCAAGTAGCACGAAACCCGGGTCCAGGGTTTCCTGTCGACTACCTCCAACCACTATCTAAGCCATCTAGTACTTCCATGATCGCGATAGTGATTTACCTTTAATTGACTCATGATCTCAACGACTGAAATGACTTATAATATCCATAAGAACCCCTTTTATTAATTATCCAATAATGAGGATATTCTATAATTCATTACATAATCATATATATATATATATATATATATATATGTAGAGAGAGAGAGAGAGAGAGAAAGAGAAAGAGAGGGAGGGAGGGAGATTTAATGTTGGATTAATGACATGTTGTTACTAATTGAAAAACAATCAAAAAACCACACAAAAAACGTGTCAAAATTTATTGATTTTTCAATAAATAAAAAAATTTTTTTTGTATAAATTTTTCGTTTTTTTTTTATTCAATGATTATTTGATATTCAATTCAATGATTCAATTGAGTTATAAACTTTGTTTATTATTCTTATTCAATATCTTAATGATAAATACAGAGAAATCATCAAAGGAGATGATTTTTAAATTTCATAATAAGGTACGAAAAGATGTACTGAAAGGTGTTTTATCAGATCAACCTAAAGCGAAAAAGATGCCTAAACTTGTAAGTTATTGTTTGGATACTTAGTTACTTACTTAGTTACTAATGCTTATTACCCCCTAATGGGGGAGTATAGGTTACTTATCAGCATTTTTCATTCTTACAATTAACATAAAAAGGAAATATGATTATAGTTGGAAGATTTTTGGAAATTGGTTCAAATTGAAGTTGGATGTTATTTAATGGATCAATGGATAATAGAGTGAATTGGGCAGTTGGACTGGCATCTAATGGTGTTAGTTGTGGCTAGTGACTAAATTCAAGATGGAGTTTTCGGAATCTTGGTGAGAAGCTGTCGTCAGTGGATTCTGATCCGTGTCAGATAGAGATAGTTATCTATCTTGGACAATAGATGAAAGGTTGCGCAACATTATGGATTGATTGAAGTTGAACATTTGAACTGTTGAATGTCCGCTCAGTGGTCTATTAGTCTCTCTTGCGAATGCTTAATATAGAGATCACTGAGTCAACATTCAATTGTGGAAATTTTTAACTTCAATCAAACCATAATATTGCGTAACCCTTCATCTGTTGTCCGTGGTAAATACCTCTCTGTATCGGACACGGATTAGAATCCACTGGCGACGGCCTCTCATTAGAATTCGAGGAAATCCATCTTGAAGCCAGTGACTGGTGGGAATTAACACCGTTGTATGCTGGCTCATTGTTCTAGAGGTCAGACATTTACGCGCGAGACCGAAGGCCCAAAGTTCGGTATAAGCCTTCTTATCTATGTGTGTGTTGCTGATTTCACTTGAGATTGCTCTCAGAACATTAAGCTTTTGTAAAGAAAGAGTTTCTTTGAAACGACTATGTTTATTTTTAAAGTCAATCAGTTCATGATATATTTTAACATTATCCAATCTTATTTATTGGAGTATCATCTCACCTTATACAGATGACTGAAAGTTCTTAGATCGATTCTTGTTTGCAGGATCGTTGATAAGTGCCGTCGAGGAGTTCCATACAAGGATAAAACGACAGTTTTCTGATATTATTCGATTAATAATTTTAATCAAACTATCAATGTGTTTGAATTCTATAATTAGTAATTACTCTTCACTAAGACTTCATGGATTCATTCTGAAAGGATTGCAATAGTTTAATCAACATTTACTCATCTTTATTAGTCACAATATTGAATGAAGTGAAGTTTTATAGTATTTTTCTAGTAGTTGTCGGGGATACTGTCCGGGTACGTAGACCGAAGGTGATTTTGTTGGGGAAACACACTCGGAGACTTCGACATAAAGGTTTAATCCACAATGCACTGGAGTAACTTAAGGAGATGTAGTCCCATGGTAACCGGTGACTAACGATTGGTTCATACACTTTTTTTTCTCTCAGAATCCTGGAACCATGTACACCATCAGTTTGGGGTCAGGATTTTCCAACACCCCTAGATGGACTCTCTATGTCCGCCGACTCGGTTAAAGCGCCGGACATTTGATTTTTTTTCTCTCAGTTTTGTAAACAACAGTAATGCCACGAGAAGGCAGTGAATAGGACTTCCCTGACGGTGGTCACTTGAGAGCATTTCGAGAGGGAAAGCGGCCATACCACGGCATTTGGAGGCTTTTGATTAAATAGCAAAACGTCTTGATCGTAATGTTAAACATTCATGATTTGTACCAATCAGATACGCTTTAAGTTGATAATTGATGAGATTTTTTATTGTGTACTAACAGGACCTGAATGACGCTATAACGTCAAAGGCCTTTAGATAAATGTTTACAGATGTGAACTGTTTAATTTAAATGTATCAAGTTCACTAAGAAACTTAAATTTCTGCAGTTCGATTGTATTTCAGATCTTGATATAAAGTCCCAAACCACAGATGCTTGGTAGCTTGCTGAACATTCAGTGTCAAATGAATATGTGGATTGAGCTACTATATTCGTTAGTTATGAATTTAGCTAAATAAAAGAATAATTCTCTTTCGCTTAAATGTTAAGCACCTTGAGTCAGTGCGATCTTTGGGACTTGTCTATATTTAGCTGCTAATCGAACGAATTTGTGTTTCATATATTATTTGCTTCTGAAACACGATAAATGTGTTTGTACATTCATCGGTGATTATCTGGACGTTTCTAACCTGTGCTTTGATCACTATGTTAGATCACTTTTCTTACTCATGAGGATCAGTCTTTTGTGATTTCTCTAAGTTCTTAAAGTACAGAATTGTCTTTAGAACTGGCACTGGAACGATGTGAAGACTAAAGATAATGAAACAAGCCATATGAAAAATCAAACTTTTGAGAACTTATAATGATACCTAAAACAAAGGAAATGAAGTAAAGAATAATGTACTATGATATGTAGGAAGCGCTTTGAATCAGACTATTTAGATTTAACCCGCATTTGTAAAATGATATTTTTATAACTTTAGTTTATGTATTTATTAGACAGATTACATTTTGATTCGTTTAAGGGATTACTGTAACGACACAAGATGTCCACGGTTTGATACTGATAAACACTTTTCTATTAACGATCCCGGTTACTAGAGAGGAAAGCGAAAGCCAGAAAGCAAGTTTACTAGGCTAAAATTGAATCATATCTGTGAAAGATTAATATTATCAGTGGTTTGTATTTTATTTCTTGAATCTAGAAACTATTGAGATTAGATGGTGGTTGGAGATAGTCGACAGGAAACCCTGGACACGGATTTCGTGCTACTTGCCACTCGTCAGCAAGGTGTACTTGTAATCTTGAAGGAACTGGTGCTCCCTGGCGGATTCGATCTCGTGTCACCCAGCTTCACAGTCAGAGACGTTACTGGTGGCCACATTGCAACATGATAGATAGCATTCGATCTGCACTAAATAAGGACTTGACACACATGACATTGATCACCACCCAGTGATCAATCAATTGTAATATAGAAACTATGTTTGACCAATCACGAGCAAGTATCGTTCGCTGGTTTCTGATTGATCCATTATAACAATGATTACATTAAATTACATAATTACTGTATTACATATCTAGTTGAAATAACTTTGTGGGACTCCTCAGCAGTGCTCATCCACGACCTCGCCCCCTGTGAGGTTTCGCGCGCGAGCACTTCACCACTAGACCACTGAACTGGCCGGCATCCAACGGTGTTAATGTCTAACTTCAACTAATCCACGAAATTGAACGACACATCCACCATTGTCTTCAGTGAGTTACTATCTCACAACAGACCTAGTTGAACTCCATTGGTCACTACTTCTCACTAGAACTCCAGGATATACCACATGAAGCCAGTCACTAGTGAACATATGTTGATTAATATCAGATCGGGGTCTTTTGTGGATATTATAGTAATTTCAATGGTTTAGATCATGAGTCAGTTGAAGCTAACTTTGTTTAAAATATTAATATTATTTACTTCAATTTTAAGAAATGGAATAAACTTTTAGCTGAAAAAGCTAAAGATCATGTTAAAAAATGTATATTGGATAGTGGAAATCTTGGAGATTTATACGTTGGTAAATTTGATTCTGTTGGACAAACTGTAGCAGAACATACAACAATACAAAAGTAAATTATGTACAAATATTAACATTTTATAAGATATGCAGAACTGTTTTTCATATTTCAGTTTTATTTTTTATGCTTATGTTTGTTAATATTTGATCGTCGCTGATTGCTGTGCCGGAAAATAATGCTGATCACTTATATTCGAAACGAGGGACCTCGGTAATTCCCACGATGTGAAACTAACAACACAAGACTAGTATAAGTGAAGATTTATTAGCCCCAAACACTATGACGACGACGATGACGACGACGACGAATCCCAATAGTTTAAAATACACTGGTTTATATATTGATTTTACACCCATTAATAATTAGGATTAAATCACATACTCAGTTATAACAAATCCCTTACTGAGCATAGTCCATGTCAATGGAATACAAGAATATCCTATATTATACAGAAGAAACTATCATACTGGAAAACAAATCAAATACTACACTGAATGATCCTCACGTTGAATCAAAACGGATGTAATATTGAACCGAAACTCATAATGAGCAATTCAATCGAAAATTGACTTGCCTTTCCATAATATGAATGTTAAAGTTAAGCGTAGGGGATTGAAGGCTTGTGATGATAAAACTTGACTATAGTCACTCCTTATAAAGTAGTCCAGTTGCAATCATTACACCTTGGGTTTAAACCCACTTAAATTAACTCAAATAGTATTAATTAGCTTGGATATTTATGGTGAGTTTTGGTCAAACATTTCTTACAGATAATAGTTGAATTCATGAGTCAATTGAAGCTAGACCACCATGGAAAACCTAGGAAGCACCGAACGGCTGTTTTGTCCTAGCGTGAGACTACTCAGCAGTAGGCATCCATGATCCCGCCCCCAGCGAGATTCGAACCCAGGACCTATCAGCCTCGCGCGCGAGGTGGGATCATAGATGAGCAATTCTGAGGAGTCCCATACTAAGACGAAATGGCTGTTTAGTACTTCTAGGTGTTACATGATGGTCTAGCTTCAATTGACTCATGAATTCAACCATTAAATTACTATAATATCCACAAAAACCCTTCTCTGACTTCTTATATTATTGATTTTTTTAAAATTTCAGTATACTGGATACTTGGTTAGAAGAAAAAAATGATTATAATTTCGAGAAGAATACATGTGAAGAAGAATGTGGGAATTATAAACAAGTATGTTGTTTCAGTTTAGGGTTTTGTGAAGATTGTAAAGTTTTCACAGTTTTCATTACGAACTAATATTGACTGGGTTACCACTGAGAACAAGGAAGCACTGGATAGTTGTTTTGTTTTCTAATACGATACTCCTTATTAGGGTACATCTACGACTTCAACACAAGGGGTCGAACCTAGGGAGTTTGGTCTGACGCATGAACTCTTAACCTCTAAATAAAGGAGGTTAATGAATAATAGATACTTGACTGAGACAACTGTCAGAATTAATTCATGATTTAAACAGTGGAGTATATTTTGGATTCTCACAAATCATGCAGATTTAATAGTTCGAGAAAATTATTAGTAATGGGTCTTATTTATTTAAGACTCGAATTTCGCGCGCGTATATTGTGTGTGTGTGTTGCAATTCAAAGCCGAGTTCTGTGATCAATAAACCATTGTGTCAACTATAAGCAAAGATGGATAGTGGCTAGCAGTGGAATTCAGGACGTGCGTTTCGTCCTTTTTGAGATCGTGTTCTGATTTGGAGACTTTTCGAGTAAAGTAGTGTCCAAGGATACTAAGCAATAAGAGTAGTTGGGTCGTAGTAAGAGAAATTATAACCCAAGTATAGTGACCAATTTGTTTAACTAACACTGTATGTCATAATTTGCACATGAAATTTAAAGTCGATATATTTAGGGTTTTCATCAAGATTCTAGCTATTGAAAAACTCAAGAAGTACTACTTCAATGGTTCCTCTATTCCTTTCCTTCTCTGTCCTTTTATATAGATAAGAGGCGATAACCATGTAAGGTTAAGCTATATCATACTAATAGCCTTGAATGACCAATCAGATTACACATGAAGGACTTTAAATATAAAAGCGAATTTGAAACATCATTGAGTATAGCTTGTCGCTGGGAGTAATATTTTTGGCTAGATTTCGTATTTTGTATGATTTGGATAATGATACTGTTGTGGTCTGCTTACAGAACTTCAGATGTAAATGTGAAAATGAAGTGCAATAGTCTGTTTTAAGGTTAAGATTAAGTTGGTAGAGTTAGTCATTTTTATAACAAAACAATCATAGTTAACATCCTGACTTTAAACCATAACTTCTAAGCTCTAATACCATAAACATAACATTCTAGTCAGCCTAACAGCAATTGTAGATTATATTGAAGAATACCATGTTTTCCAGTTCAGTTTCCCAGTCTCTGATTCCTTTACTTCACTGTTACCTTTAGGATTTTCTCTAGACTATCAATATAGTATAATTTTACCTCATTAAAATTCATACATCACATATATTGGAATATAAACAAAAAAGGTTGTCATTCGATCATAGCTCATGGATGAAGTTGAATGGTAGATGATAATCACTTTTCAAGCATAGATGGATAGTGGCTAGCAGTGGAATTCAGGACACGCGTTTCGTCCTATTTGAGACTCGTCAAGCGGATGTACCTGAATTCCAGAGTGATTTAAAAGCATGTGACTTAAGGCTGTATCGACGTAATCTGGACAGGATGCCCATATGACAACAAGAAACTGATCAATTACAGTCCTAAATAGCAATGGAAAGATGCGAGTAAAACAATACCAAGTGAATGTAACTAATCACTGTTTATAACTTTGTATACATGCTTTTTGAACACTCATAAGTTGGTTTCGGCATTAATTTGTGCTGAGAACAAAAACATATAGTAGTATATACACCGGTTGTTATTATTATTATTATTGAAGTGAACGAGAACACCGATAAGGACAACCAAATGTATTCGAACACAGAATTACAGAATCTGAGAACCATACAATAAATACTTCATTTTCAAAATGTCAATTAATCGTCCCAGATTACATTGTTCTTTCGTTTCCACATCAACCACTCTCTGTTCTCGTTCTCTTCTCGTTGATCTTTTTAACCTTCTGTCACCAGACATTTCACTTTCGATTATTGATACATACTACTTATATCAGTCTATATCAGTAGCATATACTACATTGTCCTTAATAAACTTGGAAACAGTTATTTCCAATATAATATACTTAATATACTGAGAGGCAAGTTTTTTTTTAATTTTCTCAAATATCTATGTAGATAGTATGGGCAAACACTACAGACATTGGCTGTGCTTCAAATAAATGTGGTAACAGGTATATGGTTGTATGTAATTACGCTCCAGGGTAAGTTATGATAGAAAAACTTAACTCTTGATTTTATATTCTTATTCTCAATAGTATGAAATGAGTCAAACTCAAATTGGTACAGAAAAACATATTGCTTGTTGATATGGGGTTGTTTCACTGTGTGTGTGTGTGGTCTAGTTTTCTTAAACACATTTTAATGTATACAACTGGATAAGAGACGGGTGAAAGATAGAGATGCCTCTTACACCTATAATCAGGTTGACACAACTTTTGAATATATTTGAATCACTAAAACTGAGTCAAACTCTCCAGGGATGAATCAATAATTTACTTCATGCAACGATCATGTTTATTATTGTCGTCAGATTAAAATATCACAATCTTATAAAGTAATCCAGTTCTATAGCATGATTTTCATTCAATGAATAACCATTCTATTAAATTTACTGTTACATCTTTGATCCATTTACGAACTATTATGTAGGAGAGAATGGTCTCAATCTGCCTCCAAATGCCCTGGTACGGTCAAGAATAGGGAAAGGCCGCTATTTTTCTCTCTCTTGAAATGCTCTCACATGGCCACGTGCATACAACCATTGACAGAAAAGTCATACTACCCTCTCGCACCACAGTGTTGTTTGCGAAATAGAGTGGACGGAAAGCAAATGTCCGGCGCTTCAACCGTGTTGGTGGACACGGAGAATCCACCTAGGGGAGTTTGGAAATCCTGGTTCAAAACCAATGGTGCACATGGCCTCGAGGATCCTGAAGGAACAAATGGCATGTGAACCTATTGTTAGTCACCGGTTAACATCAGACTGTATCTCCTTACGTCGCTCCACTGCCTTGTTGGTTAGTCCTTTAGGTCAGAGGCTTTGGGTGTGGTCTCTTAAGAATGCCATATGTTTCGGTTTTTGCATCCGAGCAGTATCCGAACCGTCACACAAATCGAATGATTTATGTGGCGCATAACTGTTTGGTACCTCCTTGTACGAGTGTTTACGTGTTTAAATAAATAAATAAAATCTAGTCTGAAGCCTACACAAGATGATTTACTAAGTCCATAGATGGGGCTTGCAAATGTATGAGTTAGATTATGACTGAACAACCTTGAGTGTAAAGAGAGAAAACCTATTCTATCACTGATCTGTGACATGATAAGTAAGCAAGGGGAAAAAAGAGAAGAAAAATTAGCTGGAACGTTACTTAGTTAATACTTATAAATGATATTCCCTGGTTCAGATTAACTGCAAAAGGCACACCGGCAAGACTATAATTTATGGACGAACCAATCAGGTATAAGATTACAGGTTACGCATTTTGGCGCGAAATTCACTCAACCATTCGGTTAAATAGAGTTTTGGCATTATAGCTGAAGTTAGTTCGTAAGTCATTAAGTAGTGGGCAAATTATTTTGTCAAAATAGAACAGATATCTGTGGTGACCAGATGACTTGTGAACCTTGGGCAGACTACCGTGATGATGTTATCTTTCAGTATTATATGTGTTGGAGGAAAACGTCTTCTAGTATAGGATTTTTTTCTCTCGATCCAGATTGAGACTAAGGCAAATTATGACATCTGTTGGGAACTGGATAATAAAAAGCGCTAGTAACATAGGCTGCAGTTCGGTACCACAATATATACGGATGGTTGGAGAGCTTACAGATGCCTACATAGACTTGATTATGTGCATCTTCTAGTTAATCACAAGTGGCATTTTGTAGGCTCAACAACCGGAGTGCACACAAACAATATTGAAGCTACGTCGTCGAGGCTAAAAGAGATTTGGCGACCTTATCATGGCTCCAGAGGTTGTGGAAGATTTCCTTTACCGTATGCCTTACGATTTTATAACCTCTGAACCTCTTTCTAACCTTGAAAGGTTGTTGAACCATGCAATTCTTACGTTTTATATGATATATTATTACTCCATAATACCTGGTTCCCGATTGACTGATATTTCTCAAGGTCACCTAAGATTCGTTTAAAGGTCGTCCATAAATTATATTCGCGCCAACCATTTGAGAGTAGATTCTCTACATTGAAATTATCATTATAAGTAAATATCCAAAGAATTTTGAGTTGTTTTCCTTTTGAACAATTAGAAACTATTTAATTGAAGTTATACCTTTACATTTTATCGATTTTTCATCCATGTTTTTCTGTATTCCTTAGGGCTGATGATGAAAGGCCATATGAAAAGGATTCATAAGATAGTAAACGAAGTCAAAAAATGAAGTGCTAAGTATGAGTAAATAGAATTTTTCGTGATTTCAAATAACTTATTTTGAATAGAAAAAGAAAACCATATTCGAGAGAGAAGATATATATACCTATAGTGGTTTTATTCTTGCCATCCTTCTCGATGATCCGAATATGTTATAGTTTATAGTTGTTCAAATTTAGGTTGACAACTTAGGGGTTTTAATTTTAAAAAAATATCACTTGTAGATTTTGTGATAAACTTATATTTTGGAATGTATTTAGTTCTCTTAACATCTGATTTGAGTTTCCAGTTGGTTAACACAGTAATATCGATTGTGAAGTAAATAGATATTTTCAGTATTTACTTATGAAAAGTTACAAATTGTCTTATAGTACATAGCTGATAGTATACTGCATTATCTTACTTCTAGCCTGAACTCACACATTTACTTCTCTCCAACTAATTGCCACTACTGAATAATGACACTGATTCGATCGTATATCCTTGCCTCTCAGATATCTCTTAACAAGAGAGCTTTTGGCTAAGTATGTCCTCAGTGATTTCATGCCCACTAAACATATCGCGGCCGGTAATTCTAGTCATTTTTTCCATCCATTTAGTTGGTAGCTACATCAACCCAAAGTGAAACTGTCATTGAAAATTTCGTTTCAAATATTAAAGTTTATTGTTTCTGTTTTTCATTTGTGACATCTTATCGTGATATTCTGAATACGTTTGTAGCAGACAATGAAAGATCGCTGAGGTAGAGTTTTCTGTTCCCATATATCATTGGTGAGAACCAACAGTTTTGTTTAAACCGTGGCGAAATAACCTTTGGAATTCCAAACGTGAAATCTTTGTTGCTAGTCACCGTAAACCAGATGATTTTTTCGGCTCTCTTCTTTATGCTATCGTATTGTTTTAGGTTTTTTGGTATCATCTAGTGTTGACGATCTGAATACATTGCCGGACAAATCCTTGTGAATCTAACCATTAATTGTGGATTTTCGCCTTGCGTTTAAGTACATGCGTTTGTACGATGATTAGAATTATTCGAACTATTGTATTAACCGGAAATTTCCGAAGTGGTACAAATTAAGTCCAAATAGAACCAAGTTAGCACTAACAAATGTATTGTATTTAGAATTATAAATAAACCAGGAATTAAGTACAAATTAATCATTAATTCATACGAACATCATAGTCTTTTCCTGAGCGGTAGCTTTTCTGAAACTAGAAGTTAAAGTGCTATCACGTAGTAGGTAGGTCGGTTGTAATATGAGAATTATAAAGTTAGGATGCGAACTAATGAAGGAAAGACAAGAGTGGAAATAGGTAAATAAACTGATCACATGTACAGTACAAATAATAACACACACAGAGAAGTGGATAGAAATAGGACGATCATTGTGATAATAAAGTGTGAATCGTTATAGTGATAATGATAAAAAAATTACCGTGCATTCTTCGGACATAAATATTATAGGAGATAAACTGTGGACCATGGACGAAAATGTGAATGCATGATATTTGTACTAATTGATCAATCCTTTGTACTTGATTACTCACTCTTTGCGAATTTCAAATATTATGCGTTCAGATGTGCTCATTTAGTTCTTTTTCTTAAGTTAGACTTTTATAAGAATTCTTAGTTAGCAAATGGATTTGACCACTTCTAATTAATATAAGTTGTCAAGCTTTATCTCGTACCAGTCACTTTGGTTAGCAAAGGATTACATATGCCACTAGTTCAAAATCGGAAAACGCATGACGCTTTTTTGAGTGTCCGCTCTCAGATATGCCATTTTTTGGAGGTCACTTTGTGAAATACAACGATTAGGTTTAAGAAGAATGGTTTTTAGCGACTTATTATACCTAGGATGCCATATAAGATTATCAGATTACCTCTTGTTCGTCTACGGTAAACTCCTTGCTCATATGATTGCCCCAGTTCAGTCATTCACCTAGTTGGTTATCTTTGCGTATGTTCTATGAGACTTATATCTCTTGAGGAGATAGAATATACTACATTCAAGTCTCAGGATGATGCTATGTGTATGTTATAAACAGTGATGAAACCGCTGTAGAGTGAAATTCACTCAGTCTGTCGTCATATGAAATGAAAATTTGCAACTGTGTTGTCTAGATCAGCAATGTAGTTTGTACTGGTGTTCAAATTCTATGTGGTTAATGGACTACGTTTGTAAAACTGTGGTCTCGTTCGTTATTAGTACTTCTATTACAATAGACTCGATCCTTAAATTGTAGATGAGTCATGATATGAAAACCTCATCCACAAGATCTCACATAGAATTCACACCACTATCTATTCTGACTCGTCGTACATAACAATCAGCAATACAATGTTTAGCATTTCCGATAAACACATTTAGGCTGAAGATATATTTAGTAAGAATAAAAGAGATAAGTTGTGCAAGAACGATCACGTTCGCAAGGTAGAGCCATGCCATCTTATTTAACGTATGTTCCTGCGTTCGCCATTGTTGACCTCTTAATGTTACGTGTTGAAAGTGAAACTTCTCAGTGACTATGCGTCCAACCTCGAGGACCGTGTGGTTAGGGACTAATACAACTACAAGTTCGCTCTCTGTGTACGTGTTGGAACAGAATTTTAAGAATGACATAAATTTTCTGTGACACATAGGTTCGAATGTCCATAACAAGGTATTATGTCACGTTGGAATTTGGGTCATTTTTTCTTCCCTGTTTCCATGTAACAAGCAGTCTTTTTGCAGCCAGAGTGAGCCATCCTCGAATATAAGGTGTTCTCTGATTTTGACTGCACACTCGTAGATAATGGCCAGAGAGAGAATTTTTTGGTAAGATCGTTCATGAAATCATAATAAAGAGCCCTAAGAATTTTCTTTGCGAGATTATGGATGTTGAGACACGCGAGTTTTTGTGCTCTTTGTCTACCATGATAAGAAGCCTTTGGTTCTTTAAGTAGTAACTGAACTATATGTAAAATAGGACAATGAAGCCCATATTCAAAATCTTCGTTACAATGTCGTCAATTGCCTATGTAAATGCAAGAAATACTACATGAACTGTTACTTTCTGTTCGTAGTATGTTTCCTGGATTTCCTGTGCTGTGAGAACAGTGAAAGCTCAATATTTACCTTTCTAGACCCATATTAAACTTCATTCAAATCATTATTTCTCCATTCACTCCTTCATCTGATTCTTAATCAGCCCTGAACATGTATGGGAACAATATAATTTTTTATTCTCAGCTTGGGCCTTTAATGTCATCTAGCTTGAATATTAAAGACATTGAGGATGCCACACGTATTTGTAATTTGACAACACTTTACCCAGCAACACATTGCATAATTGGATCGTGCCCACCCAGTGAAATCAAAAGTCAGAAGTGAGGAGCCTCGAACATATATTTGATAGGCCACTGATATATTGAGAAGTGACTGATCTAAACTGCTTAGCTGTAGCATGAGAAGTTGAGCACGGCATTCCCACCTGTGATCTGGCGCGAATGCGTGACCGAGCGCCTTGAGCTAGGTGAGACCATTAAAACTAATATGGTCAGCATCAAATGTCGAGGAATAACAGAGCTATTGATTTTGGGGATTTATCTACCGCTACAATGTAATAGAGTGCTTACACTCTTTTTCCGGTTGACTGAGTTATGCCGAGTTCACAAACATGGTATATGCCAGCATCCAGCTGATTTTCACGTATCGTATCAAAAACACTAAAGTAAATTTTGTCAGGTTCTGGTGACTTCCTTTGTCTCAAAAATTCCAATTCCTTTACTAGTCAGGTCCTCGATGCTTCTGAAGTGGGTGTTTACCAAGTACAAAGGACTAGTTGGGTTAGCATATGAAGGATGAGATAGTTTGCAGAGGTTAAGTGCTGTTGTTTTATGCACAGCTAGATGAGATGATAGCCACTAAGATACGTATCTAATCAGCGACATCGCGCGGCAACTTCAGATCTTATGTATCACCATTCTTCTAACTTTCGCCATATTTTGTCCGGTCATGTTTTAGGCACTATTCTGAGGTTTGAATTTCAGCTGAGTTCGGAAACTTTACCAATCACGTTATTGAGGAGTAAAATGTATCTCTCGGTCCAGACTGGTGGACCATCCTCGATTTAGGGGATTAGAAGTTCATGAGGATTCATGTAGCAAATAGAGCTTGAGAGACGAAAGTGGAACTGTCAGAAGGCAGTATTCAAAGAGGCAAGTAAATGAAGATTATACAAGAGTGTAGCATTGGGGATCCTAAGCATTAAAGCCTTTAAAACCGTCCGGGTGAGTGATTTCATGTGGCTACAGTAAATGTCTTGCGAGGCCTGTGTTTGTTAGAGATTGGACGGAGAGATGTCCCAGTTGCATTAACTATGAGGGTAGTTGATGAACACATCTAAACTCACAATACAGTGCTTTAGTCTTTGTTTGATCATGTTTGCAAAGTTTACTAATGTGGTTGTTTACCAGCGAAAGAAAACGCAACTAATTTTCCGAGTTTTCTTAATTACCTTAACTGACAGGTGAAAATTAGTAGTTTCTGGCGATTTCAAAGTACCAACTTTGAAAAGAAAGGGACTGACAAAAGAATTAATGAGATTAAAGCCGGAACTTGGTTGCTCATTGAAATAACAAATTGTAAACAAACGGAAAGAGACTAGTTGATTTTAGACTTTTATAGCACAAACCAAAAGATAAATAGTGTAATAAATTGATCAGTCGAACTTGTAGCAGTTCATGTTACATTCCTGTCCAGTCCACTCTTACCTACTTAGCTCTGCCAATTAAATGTGTGTTTATAATCTTGTTTGGTATTAATTGACCTTCCCATGTGCATTTGCTTCTTCGTAGCCCTGTTATTCATAATGTGATCTCTATGTGTTTGTTTAGTATGTGTCTGTCGTCTATGCTGTAGTTGGCTATCTGCTATTTACCCTAGGTAAAATCTGAGTCACATATTTCTCATTGGGTAGGCTTATACCGCCATGATACCTCGTGTTCATTTCCCTTTGTATGTAATATGCATATCTGAAAAGTAATTTATGGGACTATAATGTATAGTCAACGTAATATACTCAAAGTTATCCAGGAAACATATACTATTAGTATTTTCGTCGTTTCATCTTAATGAAGCCAATAATGGAGACTAAAAAACCGAAAATTCGGGCGAGTTGATTGTGTGAAACGTGTTTTGAAATGCTAGACTACAGTGATATGATCTAAAAGATAAACACTTTCCAGACAACTGACCATTCTTCCTTAGCTGTATTTTACATTAAACAACGAAGATAACATTTACAAGCCAAGTTATTACGCAAATAGTGATCGTGTTCTGCTGTCAACATGGTAAATATTTGAATCAACACCATGGGAAAGGTTATGCCATCTTCGTTTAGTCAATAAATACATTAAAACATGCAGAGTTTTTTCTCATATGATTGCTTTATGTTCTCACAGCCACTGTAATTTGTGATTGTCCAGCTGTAACCTTGTTGGCTAAAAATCTAGACAATGATAATTCAGTTCCGAAAGTTAGAGAATGGTCCAACAATCAAGGACATATTCAGTAATACTAAAGACTTTGAAACAGTAACCAAACTAGGTCCTCTCAGTTATTGAAGAGGCTGCCGCCGCATGATCGGTCATCAAAAGGCTATAAGAAAATTCAGATCAGACTTTTGATCTTAAGCCTGTGGTCATGGAGTGCTTTGGAAGGTAACAAAGCCATAAATTTGCCAATGGATAGTTGACAGAATTAAAATAACTCGTCGTGAGTTCATGGACCGATGTAATACAACAATATTGAATTTGATAATGTTTTTTATTTGCATCTTGAATGTTGTCTTGCTCTTCGTTCTCCTCACATGTTTTTTCGTTTCCCAATCCACGCCCATCCCCTTTCCTTGGTTGCTCAGCCACACAGTGGACGTTTTGATGGGACAGATCGATTCACTTGAAAAGTCACTCACCCACGTAAATCTATCGGGAAAGTATGTGACAAATGAGCCATATTTCTTCCCAATAGTAATTCTCAGTATATTCGAGAAGTTGTTCGTAACGTGTATCCATATGCATTTTGTAAGAAGCCTCTTTATGTCGCTTTCGCTAGACTGGATCGGTGTCAGTTGCTATATCCTAGTTCTAATCTAGGACTTGAATGTCATTGGAGTAAGCAGTGTCATAAGCGTTCCCTTGAAAGTTCTTCCATTAGAACGAACCACAGCCTCTTCCATAGGTTACTTTGAACAGTTGTGGATACCCGTGTAAATCAAATATATACTTACCTCTATTTGGGACAACGAAGAACCTAATGGATGCAAGCCTCTCTTCCACCAGATAGCGTCTTGCTTCAAGGTATTTTACACAACCCTTTGTTTTATCTCTCATATACAAGTGACGTTTGTAAGCACCAAATAACCAAAATCCACCTACAATTGGCAATATTTTACATCTTTCACATCAAATATGTGTGACCATAGAACTTAGTAACGTTACAACTGGTCCTGGAGAACCTGTTTCGTCGAAAACCCTATTTAAAAATGTGAAAATCGAAAATCATTTCCAAATGCACGGAAAGCTCATCCGAATTAGGCTGCTAGAGCGAATAATTGCATATGTATTATACAGTTGACGGGTTATGGTACTAAATGTTGTAATTGACGGAGGTTGAACTTTGGATATGGTGGGCTTTTGATTTAGGTAGTGTTTTAAAATTTTTTTGGGAATTTTCAACGTTTATCTGGACACTAAGGGATTTAACTGAATTCAATCTACTAAGAGGTAGTCGTCTACTTTTCAACTTAATTTACTCTAATTCCTGATGAGATGCATAGCGTGTTTTGAATAATATTGTTCAAAACATCATGCTATATGAAGGCTAGTAATTCTAGTATCTAGGACTTTTGCACTGAAGCCTATTTGTTGCCATATTTCACATGCCGACCAATCAAACTGTATAGGAATGCTGGGATTATTAACAGTAAATAGCCTTAGGCCTCATAAATAATCCCATATGGGATTAAGTTGTGTGTAATTACGTCCATCCATATTGCTAAATAGCAATATAGTTTGTATAAGTTCGTAAATAAAAAAGCTTCAACCCTCATTCCTAATACTAATTCTAAATTTGTTGTAGACTTATTAAGCCATTGAAGCTTCTAAGGGTCATTTGAATGTCGTCCATAGATTTCTGCACCACCAGCATTCTTCACAAATAATACTCTGATGTATAGGGTACGTTTCACACTGTTCATAATCATGGCCTTTAAATGAATTGGTGTGATCGGGTTTATCTGTCCCTTACGTTGTAAATTCCGTAATATATAGGCGTGCAAAACTCCATCACTCGATAATCATATTCTCAAGAAAGTTACTGAAATAGTCCTGCAATTCAAAACGGCATCTTTTCTCACATAGTACACAGGATTTTCCTCTATTATTGTGATGTTAGCCCTTTGTTGAAAGACCTTCGGAACTTTCTACTTAGTAGTACCTAGTTTTCAGTACTGTAAGCAATATTTTTCGTAACCAGAAAGGTTCTTGGATTTCAGATGCTCCTTTTTTTTGGGACTTTGAATCAGAAACAAAGTGTTGGAGCAAATTTAGATCTTTAATGGTTCATATAGTGAGCGATCATTATCACAATGTCGTTAATAGTCCTACGATGTTGTCCCGATGCAAAATTACCTTTCTCTTATTTAGCTTCTTGGTTGATATATATGAGGTAGCTGAATTCCGAAACACGAAATTCAGTGATTAAGACGGACCAAATTTTTTATCTTGTAAATAATCTCTCATTTCGTCCTTTGATTTTGTGTATATGTTTATTGTCTTAAACTGTTACGTGGAAGTAAATCGTTCATTTCGTTTGTTCTATAGTGTTAATGAATCGGTGTAGGCCGGTTACACAGTGTTGTTAATGGAACTCGAAATTTCAGTGTATTGTGGTATGTTTGTGTAGTGATTACATCAAGTCAAATTTTGTATCATTATTTGCACATGGATCGCAAATATTGCGAAAATGGTGGTAACTTTGAGGTTTGGTAATAACCCTGTAGTTGATAGTGGCTCAAACCGTAGAATGTATCGAAACGTTTAGTGTGAGACAAATAATTGCACACTCGGATCTGGTTTTGAAACAATTAATGTTCGTGCAGGCGAACATCAATTAGCGGTCAAACGCCATGATATATCCCCGCTTATATCAATTTGTATGGACAACTGTGGACATACATTCAACTAGGAAAATGTTGGGATCTTAGAGGGAATCCTAAAATCATCAGAGAACCTTTAGAAGATTGGCACTCAGGCCAACCAGCAATCAACAAACACATTGAAATCTAGCCAATTTATCAACCAATCAGGAAAATTGTGGACAAATATAAGACCAAAAAGTCAAATCAATAGGAGATACGGTCGAAATAAAGTAGACAACGACAAGTTTAAGGTAAACAATAACCAATTAAGATTAAGGTGTACAGGACAGGCTGGGAGTCTTATGTAAAGAAATTCGAACGCTTCAATTCTACTTGAAGTTTGTGCTGATGATGTTGTTCAGAAGAACGATGAAAACTCTACGACCAAACCATTCAGCTCAGACTTTTCTGTTCACAAGCCTTATTTTATGAAAATCTTCAAGACGTCATTCACAAAACTAACTCCTTTCTAGTTATAAGAAAATTCCCATCCTTTCTTAAAAAATAATATAATTGACGATCGAAACCAGTCAGATGAGATTAGGTCCACTTTCCAGACCATAGCTAGTATTTCTCTGGTGACACTATAATTTATGGACTACCTCGGAGCGATGCCAAAGTGACCTTGAGGATGTTCACCTACTTGCTAGGGCTAAGTGTGAGTTATAAACGTGTGAGGAATAAGGACTATGATTTACAGTTGATGGTTAGGGTTAGGAATTAGATTTAGAATTTTCATCACGAACTGACGTAAGATAAAATGCCAAAACACTCTTTAACCAAATAAACGGATAGATTTCGCGCCGAAATACAAGATCTGTTATCCCAAATATGATTGCTTCGTCCATAAATTATAGTCTCGCCGTTTTGTTCAGTTTGGCTACCAAGACTGGACTACTGTTCTCAAAAACCTATAAATTCTGCCTATCAGAAGCCGCCAATTTCTCTCGGTTTAGGTTAGCTTCAGCCTCATTAAGAACCGACAGAGTTGCATGTTAGACGATGTCTGTGCCCAAAGTCAGTGGTTGCTAAAAATAAACGGTTATTTAAGTATATTTGTACCAGGCGATCATAAGTGTCTATTCGCTGAAGTGGGACACTCTAAGACTCACTTGAATGTCTTTCAGTTTGGTTTAAACTACCTACTCGGACATTAACATTAGCTGCTACGATTACTACGTTTGACGGTTTATGCCTCTGAAGGTTTGAAGGCTTTTCGTAGAATTTATCACTTCATCCAAACTGCAGTCAGTGGGTGTGTAGACTGAGCCAACGTCTTAAGATACGTTTCGGGTAGAGAGGAAGTAGGAGAAGGGTTGATAGTAAGGAGAGGAGAAATATTAGGAAGTGAGAGAGGAATTCGGTCGTGAACGAGGTGGCTTAGGTTGCTGTTAGAGCTATGTAGGTGATTGTCTCTTCCTGGTTGCCAAACACGTGGAAGAACACTTTTTCACCTAGTAAGGGCGAAAACTGGATTATCAGTAGCGTCAGCAATCTGATAGCATAACTATTGAGTAAAAGGACAGATACTTGAAGCCAATCACCCAGGGTCTCTTTTGGGAGTAATTGTTGATAATTTGAGTTTCCGTATGTTTAAGGCTTTACAGGCGGCAAAGGTAATCCATCGGGCAAATTAAGGTTTGTGGACTGATGTCACGTTATGGTTTGGCCGCCCTTAACTTCTATCCGTCTTCGACACTAGTTAGCACTGTGCACCGTGCTAATCGGTGGTTAGGCATGCGTAATACTTGACCCAACCATCTCAGTCGATAAAGATTCACAACCTCATCAACTGATTTACCATCATTCCCTAATACCCTTAGTCTAACCTCACTATTGCTTACATGGTGATCCCAGCAGATGCAAGCAATATTTCTGAAGCATCTGGTCGAATACTAGTAGCTTACGAGTATCCTCTACTCTTAATGGCCACGTTTCGCAGCCGTTAAGTAGAACTGAACAACTGCCGCATAGTATGCTCGTCCCTTAATTGATAGACGGATATCTGGCCTTCGCTATAGGTGACGTAAGTTGGCAAAAGCCAAACGAGCTTATCGAATCGTGCAGAGATTTCGTCAGACACCAACCCATTAGGGCTGATCAGACTTCCAAGATAAGTGAAGTTGTCGACGCGTTCGACTACTTCACTCCCTATCCTTAGTTCAGGTGTTGACGCAGGCCAGTCCTGAAGCAACAACTTGCATTTAGAGGGGGAGAAACGCATCCCAAGCATCCTGGCATTGTTGCTCAGTGCTACCAAAAGACTGCATTTTGTCAGCGTCTTCACCAAACAGGACTATGTCAGATAACGTAGTCCTGTTTGGTGAAGACGCTGACAAAATGCAGAGTCTTCTGGTAGCACTAAGCAACAATGTCAGAATGTTTGGAATGCGCTTCTCTCCCTCTAAATGCAAGTTGTTGCTTCAGGACTGGCCTGCGTCAACACCTGAACTAAGGATAGGGAGTGAAGTAGTCGAACGCGTCGACAACTTCACTTATCTTGGAAGTCTGATCAGCCCTAATGGGTTGGTGTCTGACGAAATCTCAGCACAGATTCGAAAAGCTCGTTTGGCTTTTGCCAACTTACGTCACCTTTGGCGGAGGCGAGATATCCGTCTATGAATAAAAAGACGAGTATACTGCGCGGCAGTCCGTTCTGTCTTACTTTACGGCAGCGAAACATGGTCTTTAAGAGTGGAAGACACCCGTAAGCTACTAGTATTTGACCACAGATGCCTTAGAAATATTGCTGGCATCTGCTGGGATCACCGGGTAAGTAATAGTGAGGTTAGACGCAGGGTATTAGGGAATGATGGTAAATCAGTTGATGAGGTTATGAATCTTCATCGACTGAGATGGTTGGGCCACGTATTACGTATGCCTGAACACCGATTACCACGACGTGCAATGCTAACCGGTGTAGGGGATGGTTGGAAGAAAGTTAGGGGCGGCCAAACCAAAACGTGGCATCAGTGCCTGAAGTCACTAACTTCTAGTCTGAGCCATGTTGGTAGATGCAGACTACTTGGTTGGGGTCCGCGTGACTATCTTAACCAATGGTTGGAGACTCTTGGTGACATGGCTCAGAATCGATCACAATGGCGTCGGTGTATACACTCCCTGTCTTCCCTTAAACTAAGAGATTAAAATCACTTCATATCTTTCTTTCTACGAACTAATTCTTTCTTCCTATACTATATCCTTATTGCAACCTTTGACCTAACCACTCCTATGAATCCGGTGTTCATCTTGCTGTGCTAATGAGGTATGGCAACCTGGACCGATGCACATATGTGCCTGGTCCTACGTTGTAGCTGACTGACTGACTGACTACGTTATCTGCATATTCTAAGTCGAAAAGTGGACCTCCTGGTTAGAGATCGATTCCCGAAAATTCAGACGGGAGCATTATTTTCAGCAGTAGGTCTATGATGAAGTTAAACAAATATGGAGAAGCTGGATAGCCTTGCCTGACACCACTTAAGGTTTCGAAATCAGACGACAGCTCGCCATAAGCCCTGACTCGACTATTAGTGTTCGAGTAAAAAGCCTTCACAAGGTTTATGTACTTCTGAGGTATGTCTTTCAACGACAGACACCGCTACAGAGCCTACGGTCTACAGATTCAAATGCTGCTTTTAAGTCAAGAAAAACTATCATTATTAGACGCCGATAAGCATGCCTGTGTTTTAAAATCTGACGAATGGTGAATGTGTGGTCGATGCAGCCACAACCAGGTCTAAAACCATTTCTCGTATTTGCATAGTGATATACAAGTTAGATATTAATGGTTTTCTCATCATATCTAGCAGAGTAATTTGTTTTCCATAATTTTTCCTCTAGATGTCATCTGAGAGGGGAAGCCTTTCTGAAGTTCAAATTAAACTTGTGGGTAAGTCTGAGGTACCATTTTTGCACATATGCTATGCACTCACTTCACATCAAATGTATTATAAATTAGATTGTACCATCACTCCGGAAATTTTATCGAAGACAACGTGACATGTGATATATATATGTCTCGATCCGAGTTGTCACGGTTCGTTTCGTTTTAAAAAAAAGCGAATTAAGTCATCAGTCTTTAATAGTACTGTCTGAAATAGCGTCGCTCGAACGTTCTCAAACGCGTTTACTTTTAGCTACTGAGTATCAGAATCAAGTCCCTCTTCACCTATTTCGGTTCGGCTAACTAGGTAATATCGTTAGCCTTCACATTTAAAGCTTGGCTTGGTGAGTGAGGCAATCAAATTTTAAAAAATAACTAATTAAGAATATAGTTACAAATATCTAATTTTTCATCGAAATCATAAACTGATCAAATTCCGAAAACTATTAAAAAACTGAAAGCACTGAACGGCCGTTTCATCCTAGTTTGGAGTTCTTCATCAGTGCACATTCACGACCCCATAACATGAAATCAAACTGAAGACCTTCGATCTGACACGTGAATGCTTAACCTGTAGACCTTTGAGCCGAGACTCAATGAGTGTAGAAGTGTAACTTGAATCAATGAAGAATATTGCAGGATGATTTTCGATTGTGTTAGTTGGGCGAATGTCTGATAGTGGAGATGGATTATCACCACTGATCATGACTTTTCACTAGAACTCCTTAAATCTCCTTTCAAAGATAGTCACTAGTGTGCGTATGGTATTGGTCAGAGTGGGGTTGTTGAATATCATTGAAATTACGGACCGATCCAATTTTAAGTTGAAAAACATAGAGATAATTTCAACTGGCGATAGGAATTTACCCTCACGTTAGGTACAAATATTTCCGAGGTTCTTTTGAGGTGTGTTTGTTATGTGTGAGGTCATATCAATTGAGGGTGGAACAATAAACCACCATTAAATAGGAAACATTACAATTGTTATTATCATGAATTTAGTGAAGTGAGCATTTATTCCATAAGCGTAACTTGAATCAATGAAGAATATTGCAGGATGATTTTCGATTGTGTTAGTTGGGCGAATGTCTCATAGTGGAGATGGATTATCACCACTGATCATGACTTTTCACTAGAACTCCCTAAATTTCCTCTCGGAACTAGTCACTAATGAGCACATGAAAAAATAATAGAAGATTGTTGTGCGGTATCGTGGTCTGGTTGGGGTTAGACGTCAACACCGTTAGATACCAGTTCAGTGGTCTAGAAATCAAGCGTTCGGTTTCTGTGTGCAGAATCGTGGATGCGCACTGTCAAGGAGTCCCATTCTAGGGCGAAGTAGTCGTTCGGTGCTTCTAGGGTTTCAGTGGTGGTCTAACCTGTATCAGTTCATGATATCTATGAAATTTAATAATTTCCACAATCCCATAACAAATGTTTAATTTTCACGTCATTATTTGTGTAAGGGTTTGATAAATTATGACTAACAGTCCCGATCTGAACATCATCACTACAATCTTGGTCCCCGATAGAATGGAACACACTCATTATTCCACTATTAACCATTATTCATCTATTTCATATGCGCTTCTCCGATTTTTAATTCATATAAAACACCATAATTACAACGTACCAAAATCTATAAATTCCAATAGATAGATAAGTAGGTTGACTTTTTATTGCAAGAAGTGAGCAACTTATTCATTGTTAATTAACTCAGTTATCGATCGTTAAATGATGTAACAATAATTAACAAATCGGAAAGGGGTACAATTGACAGTTAGGCTTATATGAGATTTTCATTTAACAAGTATTTGATTTAATCACTTATCAGTATTATTCGCCTGAATTACTACTACCGTTATTCAGTTGTTATATTATCCCTTTCTCATTTTCCCCCTTAACAGCCAGATCTGCATTTGTGTGCGTGTATGTATAACTGTTAGTTTTCATTTAGATTGTTGGAAAAACTGTTAGCAGGACACAGGTGTTTTTCGTCCTGACCCTCGTTAATAAGCGAAATGTGTATCTACAGTTTTCAAGTGAACACTGACACTCCCCTCTCTATGAACCCATTCAGGTCACACAGTTCAGTAGTCAACCAATGTCATATTGGTTACAATTGATGCTGTAATTTTTTATGTACGTTGCTTTTAAGTTTTTTTTCAACCAATTTTTATTTTAATGACGTATAACTTATTTCAGTTAAACGTGCACATCTTGATCAATCATTGGATTGGAATTCATTGGCTAGAGCACAACTAAACAAGTGTAAATTTAATTTTACTGCTGAAGTTCTACCACCAGGAACATCTGCTATACCAGCTATAAATTCTATTCCATTCTATGTCACTCCTATTGTACGTGGTCCACGTCCTTATTTCGATCAAATTGTCAGTTTCAAAGCTGATGTTGATAGTATTATAGAATTTCGTCTTTCTGTACGTGACAGTAAACGTGATGAAGGTACTGAAGTTGGATATGGTCGATTTACTGTTCGCAGTGTTGCAGCTACCAATGGAAATCAATGTAAGTTCAATTACTGCCCCTTGTTATTATCATCGGTGTCTATCATCTTCATTTCTTATTTTCTTTGTGTTGTATATACATGATATTCAAACAACTACTTAGTAGTTTCTGGTTTCAGAAACTCAGTCAATTTGCTAAACTGTCGCAAATCAATTTGTAATCGTTTTTAAGTTTTCCCATTGTTGATATTTTGTTTTAATTTTTATCCATCTTAGTTCGCACATGTATGCATACTTTGTAGGTTGCCTCTATATGGCCATTGCGTCATAAGTTTTTATATTGTTTAAAGCGCGTTGTACTTATTTTGGATTTTGAAGTAGACGTCAACTCTGAAATGCGGGCACATTTAGCTGACGAGTTTAAAATCGAACGCAACATACGTCCTGGATTTTATTACTAACTACATTCCATCTATTCTACATAGACTTGTCATAAAATGACTATATTGAGGGATGCATGCATATCCCAAATTAGACTGAGTCAAATTCAATCAAAAACACCTGTAATCAATTTTGTAGTATGCGAAAAATGTAGCTCATACTATTAATACGTAATAATGTACAGTTTTCTAATCACTTCAAGTGTCCATGACGTTGTCGTTGCTGTAAATTCTTCAGTTGAGAAATTTACCCGTAAAATGACTAGGAAAAAAGCTTTATATCTATCATCTTTTCAATAAATATACGAACTGAACTACTGAAGTTGCTGACCATAGATATATATCAGGAAATGATCAATAATATGTGACTGGGAAGCACCCACTACATTGAGTCAGTATAACGTTGATCTCTTGTTTTCACCCTGTTCCCAAAAATTGTTTTCTAAGTGATACCTTATATGATATCACATCCGGTTGTTCAAACCAAATTAGACGACGTTCTGTTCCTTCAACTATCGTGGGTTTTGTTTTTTCGTGTTCTGGAACCATGGCTACATCCTTTACTTTTGATGAGGGTACTACGAAAGAAATGTAGTGGCACGGAAGTAAAAATGTCTAGGCTTAAGATCACTTGAGTTTTTCGGTGATCAAGTGGAATGTCAGAGAAAGAATCTAAAAGCTGCGTGGGAAAGTTTTATTATGCTGTTCACAGCTCATGCTTGTATATTAGTTGGGTAGATTGACTGGGACATATAGGCTGTATGATCTTTGGTACTCATGATACTTTCATTCACAATAGCATCTGTTTCACCGTGTAGTCTCTCTCTGCCTTTGTTCTGTAATAACACCTCTTAAAAAGTACATCTTCCTTATTAGTTGCCTCACCTGTATTGGTTAAGGTGAGGACATATTACTACTGTCATCTGAATTCGCAGGCAGTAGTATGATTTCTTTTTCCAGTCCGACTTATCGGCTAGTTCACCTATATTGCCAGGAGAACCGGTGACCTATTTACCAATGAACAGCAACAACTTTAACACTAATCAATCGTCAAGTTCATCCTAACTAAGTGGCCAGTCAAAAGACAAAGGTAAAAAGCAGATCAATTCTCTGTTGTACTCAATTCAATTGTGACTCAAAGCTCATACAAAAATATACTTGAAATGTTCGATCAAATAACAACATTATTAGAAAATTGCACTGTGTGCATAATTAAGATATAAATGATAAAAACCGGAGTAATAGGGGAATAATTAATTATTGATCAATCTAGAACAATTAAAGGTATGATAATGATTTATAGGTTGAACGAAACCTTAGAAATCGGCAATGATTATAACACAACAGTTTAAGCCTCTAATTATTAAACAATAAAAAATTTAAATAATAATATAATCCAGTGGCTATATTAACTCAATAGTTAAGTAGATAACGTGGTGGCGTTCGAAGCAAACCGTACTGCGTTGGAGTCCCCTAGTAAACATCAACTCTAGAATGGAGGTACATACAGCTGAAGTCCCTAATAGGATAAAACACACATCTTGAATTCCACTTCTAACCACCATCCATCTCTGCTTAAAATGCTTGTGACTTAGTGGTAATATCGAGGTAATCCGTACAGGATGTATCAATTACGGTCCTAAACATCAATCGGAAAATTCGAACAACCAATATAATACACCTCAGTATGATAGTTTCAAAAGTTATATTTCAGCATGATTCACCCAATTATATCAGTTATTGAGATCCATATCTTTGCAATAGATTGTTAGATGGAACTGAAAAAAGGAAGAAAACTCACCATGAAAACATTGATTATTTTATGCTTAAATCACATTTACAATCATTGTTTTGTCTTACTTATTGATTCTTTACATTGAAACTTTGATTTCGGTATTCTTATTGTCTGTCATTGAAAGGCGTACCTCAGAAGTACATAAACCTTGTGAAGGCTCTCTACTCGAACACTACCAGTCGAGTCAGAGCTTATGGCGAACTGTCATCTACTTTTGCAACCTCAAGTGGTGTCCGTCAAGGTTGTCCACTTTCTCCATTTCTGTTTAACTTCATCATAGACCTACTGATGGAAATAACATTCTCGTCGACTGAATTCTCGGGTATTGATCTCCTTCCAGGAGGTCCACTTATCGACTTAGAATACGCAGATGATATAGTCCTGTTTGGTGAAGACGATGACAAAATGTAGTCTTTTGATAGCACTAAGCAACAATGCCAGAATGTTTGGAATGGGCTTCAGGACTGGTCTGCATCAACACCTGAACTAAGGATAGGGAGTGAAGTGGTCGAACGCGTTGACAACTTCACTTATCTTGGAAGTCTGATCAGCCCTAATGGGCTGGTATCGGACGAAATCTCAGCACGGATTCGAAAAGCTCGTTTGGCTTTTGCCAACTTACGTCACCTTTGGCGAAGGCGAGATATCCGTCTATCAATTAAAGGACGAGTATACTGCGCGGCAGTCCGTTCTGTCTTACTTTACGGCAGCGAAACATGGCCATTAAGAGTAGAAGACACCCGTAAGCTACTAGTATTTGACCACAGATACCTTAGAAGTATTGCTGGCATCTGTTGGGATCACCGGGTAAGTAATAGTGAGGTTAGACGCAGGGTATTAGGGAATGATGGTAAATCAGTTGATGAGGTTGTGAATCTTCATCGACTGAGATGGTTGGGCCACATGTTACGTATGCCTGAACACCGATTACCACGACACGCAATGCTAACGGGTGTTAGAGATGGTTGGAAGAGAATTAGGGGCGGCCAAACCAAAACGTGGCATCAGTGCTTGAAGACACTAACCTCTAGTCTGAGCCATGTTGGTAGATGCAGACTACTTGGTTGGGGTCCGCGTGACTATCTTAACCAATGGTTGGAGACTCTTGGTGACATGACTCAGAATCGGTCACAATCGCGTCGGTGTATACACTCCCTGTCTTCCCTTAAACTGAGAGATTAAAATCACTTCATATCTTTCTTTCTACGAGTTAATTCTTTCTTCCTGTACTGTATCCTTATATGCAATTTTTCTCTTATATATTACCACCTTTGACCTAACCACTCCTATGAATCCGGTGTTCATCTTGCTGTGCTAATGAGGTATGGCAACCTGGACCGATGCATATATGTGCCTGTAATCGCTAAATTATTTACTATTTAACAAATCAACAATTTTACTTTGTGGGGATATTCAATTTTGAATACCTTAATGTTCATAGACTTGAATGTCTATAAATTACTTTGATCATGATAGTCATTTTAGTCAGTCCAAGTAGCTCATATCCCATACCAACACTATAAATTGACATTAAAATAAGGATGAATATTTAATAAGTTGAACTAGACGTACGAGCAATTATAATAAGAATCATGTTTAACCATGTTAAACATTTGAATTATAATTTAGTAAGATATAATGATAAATGGTTTGTTCGTATGAAGGAATACTGGGATTCGAAATCTAAACAGGGGAGATACAACTTAAGTACATCTACAATTCTAACTCACATCACTAGGATAGTAATAATAGTAGTTGTAATAGTTGGTTAGTCTCATTGTTTTTCACACCATACATTTGATTTATAATTACTTAGTTCTTTGAATTTGTTCACATTTTTCTAAGTTGCATTATTCTTGCCAACTACATATTAGTTGTTGTTTCTCTGTTTTCTTTCAGTGAGCAATTTGGCATTTTCACAACCAATTAAACCACTTCCATGGTTGCATAATTCTACTATTTCTTCATCGAGTTCATTAGGCAGTATTGATTTGTCAATTTCTGTGCCAATACGTGATTTAAGCAGTGCATTATTAGCTCAACATTTGTCTAGATCAATATCCAGAATAACAGCCAATTCTGTAAGTTAATCATTTCATAATGTAGCAAGGAATTTTAACCATCTTTCTTATTTCTTACAGATTGTGATTACTAATATATTTTGAGGTGGTTAAAAGAATTTTATCGTGCATTGAAAGTTCATTTCTAAAATAAAACCACGAACCGATCAAACTATTAAAAACTTGAAAGCACTGGACGGCCGTTTCATCCTAGTTTGGAGTTCCTCATCAGTGCACATCCACGACTCCACAACATGGAATCAAACTGAAGACCTTCGATCTGACACGTGAATGCTTAACCTGTAGACCTTTGAGCCGAGACTCAATGAGTGTAGAAGTGTAACTTGAATCAATGAAGAATATTGCAGGATGATTTTCGATTGTGTTAGTTGGGCGAATGTCTGATAGTGGAGATGGATTATCACCACTGATCATGACTTTTCACTAGAACTCCCTAAATTTCCTTTCGAAACTAGTCACTAGTGTGCGTATGGTATTGGTCAGAGTGGGATTGTTGAATATCATTGAAATTACGGACTGATCCAATTTTAAGTTGAAAAACATAGAGATAATTTCAACTGGCGATAGGAATTTACCCTCACGTTAGGTACAAATATTTCTGAGGTTCATTTGAGGAGTGTTCGTGATGTGTGAGGTCATATCAATTGAGGATGGAACAATAAACCACCATTAAATAAGAAACATTACAATTGTTATTATCATGAATTTAGTGAAGTGAGCATGTATTCCATAAGCGTCTACCGAAACGTGGTATCAGCCCTTGAAGTCACTAACTTCTGGTCTGAGCCATGTTAGTAGATGCAGACTACCTGTTTACGGTCCGCGCGACTATTGTAACCAATGGTTGGAGAATTTGAGTAAAATGACTCAGAATCGGTCACAGTGGCGTAGGTGTATACACTTTCTGTTTTAAACCGTGAGATTAAAATTACGTCATACCTTTCTTTCTACGAACTAATTCTTTCTCCCTGAATCATATCCTTATATACAATCTCTTTTTAAAAAAATATATTACTACCATTTAAGTAACTGCTTCTATAAATTTGGTGTTGATCTTGTTGTGCTAATGAGGTATGGCAACTTGGACCGATGCATATATGTGCCTGGTCCTACGTCGTAGCTGACTGACTGTCCATAAGCGTCCTAGATTCGGTCATGTGTAATGATCATTTAGACGCATTGTCTTCTGTTCAACTGTAACAAACACCCATCCAGCTCTTCCTAGTTTTTTAAATTGTTCTCAAGATAGGATATCTAGTTCACGCTGAAGATCAACTGGGAATTTTGCACAAAAGGTTTTTCACAATACTATTTAATGGATAAACATTTATGAGGACATCGTCATCATCATGATCAGGAACTTCATCAGAAAAGATCACATTTTTCTTAAGTATTCTTCAATAGATTTAAGTGTCCATTTTCTTTGCGTACATTGAATAAAGTACACCGTAATATAGAGTTTAGGGGAAAAGGTTAATCTCATTTGTGTAATATTTTATATCGCATTAACATGTAAAGGTGTGTTTGTGGTTTTTTATTTATTTATTTTAACACATAGATATTGGTACAAGGGGGCACCAGATACATATGCGCCACACAAATTTCATTCGATATGTGTGAGGGCTGTGATACTACCTGGGTGCCTAAACCGAAGCAGGTGGTTTTCTTAGGGAGGCCACTCCCCGAGCCTTCGACCTAAAGATCTGATCCACAAGACAGTGGAGCAACGTCAGTAGATGCAGTCCTATGGTAGACGGTGACCACCAATAGGTTCATACACCATTTGTTCTCTCGGGATACTGGAGGCTATGTGCACAATTGGTTTAGAATCTGGGTCTCCCAATTCCTTTAGGTGAACTCTCCGTGTCCACCAACCCGTTCAAAGCGTTGGACATTCGCTTTTCATCCTCTCAATTTCGTAAACAACACTCGTGTTGTGAATAGGACTTCCCTGTCAGTGGTTGTATGCACATAACCATGGCTCAGAATTGATCACAATGGCGTCGGTGTATACACTCTCTGTCTGTTTGTCTAAAGTGTAATTCGATTGCTTCAACCACTAAGGCTTTGTGTATCAATAAAATGAGCAACGCTCACTCCATTTTCAATTAATTGTATAGCACCTTTTCGGACTTGGGGTTGGGGTTAGCGTGACTATCGTAACCAATGGTTGAAGACTCTTAGTGACATGGCTCAGAATCGATCACAATGGCGTCGGTGTATACACTCTCTGTCTTCTCTTAAACTAAGAGATTAAAATCGCTTCATATCTTTCTTTCTACGAGTTAATTCTTTCTTCCTGTACTATATCCTTATTGCCATCTTTCTTTTATATATTACCACCTCTGAATTAACTACTTTTATGAATCCGGTGTCCATCTTGTTGTGTTGATGAGGTATGGCAACTTGTATCGATGCATATATGTGCCTGGTCCTACGTCGTAGCTGACTGACTGACATGGCCATGTGAAAGCATTTGGAGAGGGAGAGTTGACTCTTCCCACTCTTGGCCGTACCAGGGCAAAAAATCAAGCCTCGAACAATATATATATGAATAAAAAGGGTGAAATAATATTGTTTAAATTCAAGGTTTATAGGAAGATAAATAAATGTGTCTGTACTACTGAAACTGATTTAAAAATCCTTAATCAAATATATAGCAGTTATTTAGTTGTTGTGAAAATTTATATTGAACCCATATTCCTATCCTTTTCATGTAATAGACACAATATCGGTTGAATTAGAAGTGGGTTAGAAGAAAACTAAGCGGAATTAAAATTAACCATAGGATCAGTCCACGAAGTCATTCACTGTAGGAATGAACCATGTTGGTAGATAAAGAGTACTTGATTATCATAAACAATGTTTAGAGATGTTATGCGATGTGATGCAGAATAGATCACAGTGGTGCAGATGTACTCACTCCTTATTGTCCTTTAGATATGGAGCTTTTGAATCATTTCATACTGTTTGTGCCATTGATTCATTCTTTTCGAATCATGTTGTCTATTTATAAACTTCTGTTACTCTGACATTGGTCTTGATAATTTCATCTGTCTGCTTATTATGCTAAGTGACAACTTTAATCAATGCGGTATTGTCCAAGATTTTACATCACCTATGACTAACTGGTTAGATTAATAAGTCTACTTCTAATTTGTAACAATAGTCAATTGAGCTATCGTCTTTGATAACCAGAAAGTTGTCTACATTATTTTCACCATAAATTGGTCACCAGTTTTGAAAAACGTGGTTTATGTTAGAGCCTTTTTAACCTCCTTTGTTCCATTGTGGAAAGACAGTATCGCTGAGGATGCTAGGTATTTAAGGGGAACACTCTATTGATATCACATCCGTATAGAATCGGCAATACAAATCCGCCGTCGTACCTTAATTTTGATGCTTTTAGTTTTGCCTCTCTCTCTCTCTCTGAATGGTCTACCTGGGATAGTGGTACTGCCTAAATCAATAGGTGTTCCATCTACGTTAATTTGATTGAGTCATTACAATATCCTGTCCCAACCATAACGTCAAGTTAGTAGCTGCAATCGAGCTGTGAAATGAAGCTTTGCTTAATCATTAAAAATCGCCAAGCTAAATATTTAAATCCTGTTTCACTTGCTGTGATTTAGGTACCTTAGTAGTTGTAATGAGTATCACTGACTCTTACACATCAAAAGCGTGATTTAAAGTTGAGTGCATAAACTTGTACTTCAATAGTGAGTTATTTTATGCTGATCAATAGTTTGTATGGGTTAATAATTGGTCTTTACCAAACAAAAAATGTTTTGATGTTCATCTAAATCATATGGCAAAATGCATGGTTTTAACTGGATGATTGCTATCATAAACTGATGTCATAATTTTGACTTCATGTTTCGTGATGTTCACTACCTGTCATTGAGCCGTACCTAGAATTTCTAGGCAGCTTGGTGCTTCACCCTGTGAGATTCAAACTCGTATCGCACAGCTCACAGTGTATTGTATTAGGGCCGAGACCAACCTCCTGTAGAACTGAGATATTCATGTTCCCTGGCCAACAAGACGTACCTGCAGTCGTTAAGGATGTAACGAGTACCAATCCGGTTTTAGAAAAGGGTTTCCTTTCGAGTAATCCCAATCACTTCATATCAAAGCAGTGTGTACAATATCAAGTCACTTAAATCACTGGCCTCATTACAGCTTGATTGATAGAATTTGATCAGCACCAAATAACTAAACGATCATGACTTCAGTCATCACGTTTACTTAATAATCAATCCATTCAATTTCAATTTAGTCATTCACCTATGATAAACACACGTTTTTAAAGTAATTACGTATATCACTTCGATCGCTTTGCCATAGGATAGATAGGTAGTGGTAGTTTGGTGGATGCTACTCACAAAATTGCTTGTAAGTAGTATGTAGCGGAAAGTGGCGTCGAAGTTGCCACGGTCGTTAGACGTAGAATAAAGTTTCTGTATATTGAATGCACTGTACAGACAGAACACCTAATGATGACCAGACGAGAAGATAGTTCTGATTGCAGAACACACCTCAAGGTACAAACGGACGATCGAAGGCTACGTATACGTATTATGTAAAGGCTTTGTAATTTGTCACAATAAAAAAATTCTTCTGCCCATCACCTTATACCGCAGTAATGGTGCTTATAAGTGTTTCATAACTTCAGCGCAAAGCTTGCATCACATTCGTTCTGATATATATAGTGAGCCAATCTGAAGTGGACAAATGCATATCATTGGCTAAGAAGTTGATCAGTTTTCTAAGGGGTAGAAATGTAAACACATATAAACGAGAATTTATTCATATTGTCCTGTAGCCCAAGAGGCTTCGTCTTCCATTCTTGTGTTCTCGCTCAAGTCGTCAGTTTTTTTGGGGGGGGAGGGGTCGGTTAGTACATAGTACGTTGTATATTAGTATCAGATCTCGGACACCGACCATCATAACACGTTCCATACGTGTGTGCGTTTGTTAATTGGTCAGTTCGTTCACCTTTTTTGTTGTCATGTGAATTTATTGACTGCTGATCAGCTTATTATTATAATTGTAATGGCCTATAAATTGATTTCATTTGTTGATCGATATTTCCTACATATAATTTTAATCGGCCCTATATATGTAATGTTTTGATTGGGGTATTGAATGAACTAGCTAGTGTGTACTAAAAAAACATTAATTAAAAATATACTCATCTGTTATGGTGATCTAATAATTGTATTCTGATTTTTCTTTGTCCAAGGTTAATGGTCGTCATACTTCTGGATCACAATCAGAATCAACTTCAAATATTACAGTAAGATCACCGTCTACTGATCGTACGATGAATAATCACTTGGTAGACAGTGGTGGCGGGGTTGGGCCAACTTTAAACCCATCTGCTAATCACAGTAATAATAATAATAACACAGAGAATGCCAATGACTCCTCGTTACCACCTGGTTGGGAAGCTAAATATACTTCAGAAGGACGAATATATTATGTGGATCATTTAACGAAAACAACAACATGGTGTAAACCTACTCCACTTCCACCTGGGTAAGTTCACCATTTGTTTTTTTCTTTGCGAAAGGGTTTATAATTGGTTGACAAAGTGCTACCCTATCACGTGTGTGTTTGTTTATATGAAGTAGTTAGTGTGCCAGTATGGTCCATAAATACGTATATATATATATATATATATATATATAGGTTTTCTGTGTTTGGCTTTTATTGAATTATACTCAACATGAACACTTGTAACGTATGGAAATTGGATAAAACATATAGCATTTGTTCCAAACAACTCAGTCTATGAAAGGTTATAGGCTTCGTCAATCAATTTGTCACCTTTCACTTAGTTCTCTACATCCTGACCTCAGTATTAATCTAGACAATCGTTTATTAATAGTCATCGTCATATTTGTATGTAAGTCTGGATTACTCCCCAGACGCTCAAACCCATGCCTTAGACACAGAAGACTAATTCATAAGTTAGTGGATCAAAATCAGGAGATATAGTCCCATGGTAACATGTGGCCAAAATAGGTTCGTTCGCCATTCATTTCTTCACGATTCTGGAATTGTCTGCGCGATTGGTCCAAAAACCAGATTTTTACAGCTACTTTAAGTCACCGGTTACCATGGGACTACATCTCCTAACTTTGCTTGTGCCCCCAAATGCCCTGGTACGGCCGAGAGTGAGGAAATTCCCCTCTCCCTCTCCAAATGCTCTCACATGACCGCGCGTATATAGCCTCTGCCAGGGAAGTCCTACTCACTGCCTTCTCGTGGTGAGGGTGTTGTTTACGGAATTGAGAGGACGAAAAGCGAATGTCCGGCTATTTAACCGGGTTGGTGGACACGGAGAGTCCACCTGGGGGAGTTGGAAAACCCTGATTACAAACCAATCGTAAATCATTCTTTTTCTGTATCTATCTTCTGATTGGCTAATACGTTTTGAGGTGTCAAAGTCGTTTCCCAGTATAGCCCAATTTTACTTTGGATAGAATTTTGTTAAAAAGAAACTTGTATAATTTGAGAAAATTAACATTTAAATTCTTTTAGAAGAGACATATTTTTCATTTTTGTTATAGATGGGAACGAAGAACAGATAATGTTGGTCGAGTATATTATATCGATCATAATACTCGAACTACAACATGGCTTTGTCCAAATCAAACACTTTTAAATACAGTACAAAATTATCAACAAATGACTGCTTCACGAAATGGTATTATGCAACAACGAATGAATGAACGTTATGCGAATGCTGTTTGGAATTTAGGTGAATCAGAACCACTAGACGCTAGTTCACGAACAAATACTTCAACTGGTGGTGTAATGGATCCATTAGGTCCTCTACCAGCTAACTGGGGTAAATTTATCTGTTTTTTAATTGCCGACTATCTATAGAAATAGTTTGGTTTTATGAAAGTTTGAGGAGATATGATTGGTTTATCTGAAGTGTAATTCGATTGCTTCAATTACTAAGGCATTGTGTATCAATAAAATGAGTAACGCTCACTCCATTTTCAATTAATTGTATAGCACCTTTTCGGACTTGGGGTTGGGGTTAGCGTGACTATCGTAAGCAATGATTGGAGACTCTTAGTGACATGGCTCAGAATCGATCACAATGGCGTCGGTGTATACACTCTCTGTCTTCTCTTAAACTAAGAGATTAAAATCGCTTCATATCTTTCTTTCTACTAACTAATTCTTTCTTCCTGTACTGTATCCTTATATGCAATCTTTCTTTTATATATTACCACCTCTGAATTAACCACTTTTATGAATCCGGTGTCCATCTTGTTGTGTTGATGAGGTATGGCAACTTGGACCGATGCATATATGTGCCTGGTCCTACGTTGTGGCTGACTGACTGACCTATTCGGAACCTCTTATACGAGTGTGACTACCGTGGTCTGGGCAGCTGACTAGTACCGATCACTAACCTTCGAGGATTTATGTAAAATGTGACTGGTATTAGATGTGGACGAACTTGTACAATGTGTTTTGCACTAAAAAATAGTTCCCTAAATATTAAATTTATCCTTGTAAAGCATGAAACCAGCAAATATAAGTTCTTGGCCGTACAATCATCTCACCGAAAAAATTCTTAGCGACTTTGATTTTAGTCGTAACAAAATAGTTTGCATAGAATAGATGGAATATAGCCAGTAGTGAAATACAGGCCTGACATTTCGTCCTATTTGGGACTTGTCAAATGAGTATACCTGCATCTCAGAGTTGACGTTCACTCCGGGATTCAAACACTGTAAGTGCAACTAGTCTGATAACTCGTTAGCGTTTGAACTGAAACGATCAATCAACAACCTGGTTGTAGGTCAATGGAACAAAATAGTTGAATTAAGTATAAGGACAGCTAAAGATAATGAAACCTGATAGGTTAACCAATAACATTCAAGGATACCAGAACAAACTAGTCTAAAACTCATGGAATAACCAAGATGCTGATGATGTAGTCTAAAGCAACAGTGAAAGCTCTGCAGTCAAAGCATCTAGCTCAGAGGATTCAAACCATACCGAAAAAATCGGAAAATACTGGATTCTACTCCCAGTGTGCACATCAACAACACTTTGGTTCAGGTATACCTAGCCGACTGATGACTCCCATGTGGGACAAAATAACCATTTTTGATTCCACTGCTAATCACAATCCAGTTTTACATCTATATATTCTTTTAAAGTCCGAAAAATCGTCATTATTTAGGTAGAAGTGTGTTTATAAATCCTTTTTTACCTTCTTAGAACGACGTGTTGACATATCTGGCCGTTCGTATTTTGTTAATCATGTTAGTCGAATCTCTCAATGGGAAGATCCTCGTATACAAGGTCATCCATTACCTCCTGGTTGGGAAATTCGTTATACAACTGAAGGATTTCCATTTTTTGTTGATCATAATACTAAAACATCGACATTCAATGATCCCAGACGAAAAGATGCAAGGTTATTGCTTTTATTTTTTTTCACTATTATTTAGTTCTTAAATCCTAAGCTTTGAAACAAAATACTTCCAGGCAGTCATAACCGCGTTGTTTCGTTTTTAGTATAAGGGATTTGTGGAAATCGTTGTATTTTCACAGTTGAAATCACAAGTCCATTTACGCTAGACCACTATTGAAAAAGTAGAAGTACTGGGCAACCATTTTCTTCTAGTATGGGACTCAGCAGTGTGTATTGACAATCTCAATTCTTGTACCTTTCGGTGTCGCACGTGAGCGCTTAACCTGCAGACCACTGGGCAAGCATCCAATAGTGTTAAGGTGTAACCTCAATCAATCCATCATCTTGTAGAATCCTTCATTCATTGTATGAGGTGGATAACCGTCTCAAACCCGGTACGGATTGAGCCCACTGGTCACGGATTGTCACTAGGACTCCAGGAGTTACATCTTAAAGCTAGTTGCTAGTGAGTTCATGGGGGGGGACTGGTTGTGTAATGTTTCACGTGGTTCGGCCGAGGAGATCTTTACTAGTATGAAGACCTATATATTGGCGTTGTAGTTGTATAAACATTCATTACTAGGACCAAAGCATCCGAAACTGGTGCTTTGTAGACGCACTTATATCAAGCTAGCTGAGAAACGGACTTAATTGCTGATCAAATACTTATCTCCCAATCTGTGATTTGCAGACTCAAAATCTTATGAGGTTAGCAGTGGAATCTTGAGCTTTTCTTCTTTTCGCGAGTTGTCAACTGGATACATCTAGACTCTAGTGTTGATGTACTCCCACTAGCTATTGCTCAGTGGATAATGCTTTTATTTTACAGGCACATTAAACTGACGAGTCCCGAATAGAACGAAATGCGAGTCTTGATTGTCACTGCTAGCTAGGATTAACCTTCGCCATTGTGGCAATATCGATGTAACTCGCTCAACATGGACATATAGGAATAGAGACTTACCAATTGGAGTCCCTAATATCAAGAATAAAAAATCACAAGCCCGTACTAATAAAATCACTGCTATTAAATTTTTTTAAACAGTTAATTATCAGTGTAGGAGTTTGTAGAGATTGTTGAATATTGTTGAAATGGTAAACCGACCTAAGTTAGACAATCATTGAAAACCAGGAAGCACTGAATAGCTGTCTCGCTCTAATATATGACTTTTCTTCAGTGCACATTAATGACTGATTCCAAGAGATAATTGCTTTAGTCCTAGTGAGTTGTGATTACTGATGTTCAACCATGTCGGGTGTACAGCATTTACTAACCGAAAACAATAGAAGGTGATCTCTCAATATCAGCAATTGATTGACGTTAGGCATGTAAACCATTTTATCCCAGCTTAATAGTCTAAAGGTTAAGTGACTGCAAGCTCCTGGTTTCGATCCTCGGTGGCAGGGTCATGGATGAACACTGTTGAGAAGTCCTATACCAAGACGAAACAGATGTCCTGTACTTTCTGGTTTTAAATAAATGTCTAAATTACATCGGTTTGTGATATCAATAATATTAGATCTAATTATCTTATTCTTAATTTTCCCTCCATTTTTCTTTATTCAAATGTCAACAGTGGAAATATTGAACAAGCATGGTCATTTGAAAATAAAGTCGCCAGTTTCCATTATCTTTGTCATTCAAATTTGGTGACAAAAAATGTGAAAGTTGTTGTGTCCCGTAGTAATCTTCTAGTGGATTCATTTGAACAAATTATGCGATTGAAACCACATGAATTACGTTGTCGTTTGTTCATTTCATTTACTGGCGAAGAAGGTTTAGACTATGGCGGGTTATCACGGTACGTGTAATTCGTAAAGGAAAATCTTCATCAAGCTTATGTATATTTTTTAAATCACCTGTAAAGTTTTTTGTTCATCTTGTTATTACGTTGATTGAACTAGGAATATATTCTCCACTTACTTAAGCCCGTTACCCCTCTTGGGGCATAAATCACTGACCAGGAATCTCCAGACAACTGTCCTGGACTATTTTTTAGATTTTGCCAAGTACTATACATCTTTTAGATGTCTTTCCAGTCCCCGGAGTCATGTATTCTTTGGTTTACTACTTTTCCTTTCCTCTTGGAGATCCCAAGTTAGGGTTTGGTTTGTTGTGATATAATTTGGTGGTTTCCGTAATGTGTATCTTATCCACTTCCAGTCTCTTTTCCTCTTTAAGTGAAAGTTGTTGTGTTCTCTGTCACAGCTGACGATTGATAATAGTGTCTGGCCAACTGATCTTGAATATCTTGCGTAGACAATTGCTTATACATACCTGTAGTTTTTTATGTTGTTTGTAGTTCTTCATGTTTCAGCATGTTTTAGCGATCAAAAATGCTCATTTCGAAGTAACTTGGAAATCGTGCCTTCTTCAGTAGTGTCAACTTAAATTTATATTTATTGCTGCTTAATAATTTGTATTGATTTGATGATTCTTATAAACTAACTGGCATGTATTTTGCACTATTGTTCATATTACATTGTTGTCAGTGTATTAACAAAGTATTCAATATATACACCATGCTTACCATCGACTCACTTACTATATGCGTCTAGTTATATTTGTTTTGACATGTGGCGTTTGAGAGCTGATACCGACATACAATCTTCATGTAACGAGCCACACTTACTCCTCAAGCGATATATACACATATATATCCCTTGGAAAATCAAATCACTATTGTATATTCCACCCCTTAGAAATAAAGATCATTTCTTGGCCAATTGCATATGCTTATCATTTGATCGATTTCTGGTTGGGTTAGTATTTTGGTTTCTAATATGATTGTAAAATGACTAATTCCTTCCCGATCCATAACCTTCGTCACCATAAATTTCTCGTTTTCTCTAATTTATTTTCAGAGAGTGGTTTTTCAAATTATCTACAGAATTATTAAATCCAATGTATTGTTTATTTGAATACGCCGGTGGTAATAATTATGCATTACAAATTAATCCTGCATCATCGGTTAATCCGGAACATTTGGAATATTTTCGGTAGGTCTATCATGTTGATTGTGGTGTTGTGTGATGTTTAAATTGTGTTTTTCTTGTGTGTAATCTGTTAATTTTTGGTTGTCTTATGTAGAGAATCACAGATGTTTGATAATGATTACCATTCAGTCCAGATCCGTTGTACAAAGTGAACTCAGCAGCTTAATAGATAGTGCATTGGGCGTTTAAGGCGAAAGGTACTTATTTCGGATCTCAGAGTGAATATCAACTCTGAGATGTAGGTACATCCAGTTGACAGGTCCCTTATTGGACGCAATACACGTCCTGGATTACATTGCTAGCCATATTCCATGTATTTTATGATTATCGTGTCTGTAAGTTATATTCAATTCATTTTATTTGTGAATGTATCAGTCAGTCATAGTTAATGTTGAGCTTGGCGTAAATATGCTTTAACCCAAGTTGGTATACCATATCGAAGCAAACAGATGAAATCAACTCAATGAATGGTAGATGAGTCGAAATAATATCGTACCAATTCGAGGAGACCGAATAAAAAGATGTATATCAAGGAGTATTTGAAGTCAGGATCTAGAGGGAATAAGAAGAGTAAATGCATCTGCACCCCCGAATGCCCTGGTACGGTCGAGAGTGGGGAGAGTCCGCTCTCCCTCTCGAAACGCTCTCACATGGCCACGCGTATGGCCACTCATTGCCTTCTCGTGGCGGTGGTGTTGTTTACGGAATTGAGAGGACGAAAAGCGAATGTCCGACGCTTTAACCGGACCCCGAACCAAACCAATGGTGCACATGGGCTCCATTATCCTGCGGGAACAAATGACGTATGAACCAATCGTTGGTCACCGGCTACCATGGGACTGCATCTCCTTACGATGCTCCACTGCCTTGTGGATCAAACCTTCAGGTCGAATGCTCGGGGAGTGGCCCCCCTAAGAAACCACCTGCTTCGGTTTGGGCACCCGGGCAGTATCACAGCCCTCACACATATCGAATGAGATTTGTGTGGCGTATATGTATTTGGTACCTCTTTGTACCAATATCTATGTGTTAAAATAAATAAATAAACCACTGACGAATTCTTAGCCATGTTATTCAACGTTGATTACCACATGAATCCTAACCAAGTAGTCTGCTTCTGCCTAGATGGCTCAGATCAACAGTCAATGGTTTAATGAACTGATTTCCGAACTTAGTTTTCTTCAAACCTGTTTGTTCACTAGCTAATTTCATAGATCGAAGTAAACGGTGATTGAATAAATGTATCACATGTCTAATTCATTTCACTCAATGAAGATTCACAATTTTAACACAAGTATTAATATTGCATAGGATACCAATACACTCAACTACTTCATTTCTTGTGACCAATCTATGAGATAATCAATTGTAAAGAAACAATTTACTTACTGCTTATTTCAAATTAGGTAGAGCGAGGGATTAAAACTTTTGATCTATCTGTTGATAGTCGACTATTTTAATAATTACGCTTATAGCTTCACAATTAAAACCACAGAATAACTAGATAGAAAGTAGAAGATATCTTTTGTATTGAATTGTTCCAAGAACTCATTTTTACATGTTTTTCCAAGTCAATTCAGAAACATATAATAGTTCAACTGACTCATGATCTTAACCATTGAAATTACTACAATCTCCACAAAAACCCATCTGATATTAATCAACATATGCTCACTAGTGACTGGCTTCACGAGGTATATCCTAGAGTTCTAGTGAGAAGTAGTGACCAGGGGAGTTCAACCAGGTCTGTTGTGAGATAGTAACTCACTGAAGACAATGGTGAGTGTGTCTCTCAATTTCGTGGATTAGTTGAAGTTAGACATTAACACTGTTGGATGCCGACTTGGCGGTATAGTGGTTAAGTGCTCGGGCGCGAAATTGGTAGGTCCTGGGCTCGAGTCTCGCAGGGGGCGAGGTCGTGGGCGCGCAGTGCTGAGGAGTCTCACAATAGGACGAAACGACCGCCCAGTGCTTCCACGTTTTCCATGGTGGTCTAGCTTCAACTGACTCATGGTCTTAACCATTGAGAATATAATAGTTCTCTTTGAATAGTTTATTCTCTTATCGATGTAATGATTGGTGGTGTTTTTACAGACAAATCATCGTTTATATATAGATGTTTATGATCTCTCTGTCCGGGATTACTATGCATAATAATATAGGCCTTCTTTTTATCAAAACTAACTATATGTATCGATAAAAAGTGAAAGTGGAATTTGTCAATATGGTAAAAAAATACCTTGTTTTAAAATCAATGTAATGTGTATGCACAATAGTATTTTTTGTGGAAATTTCTAAATAATGATAATTGTTTCATTTATAATACTAAATACTAAAGTTCTCAGCTGAATTCTCGAGTCGATATGACTTAGACCACTACGTGGGACTTGGACCAAGAACCCTCGGTCTTGAGTACGCGATCGCGGATGTGCACTACTGAGGAATCCCATACTAGAGCAAAACAGCTGTCTAGTGCTTCCAGGTTTTCAATGGTGGTCTCGCTTAGATCGACTCGCGAATTCAACTGGAAAAATACTACAGTCTCCACAAATCCCCATAATTATATTTCATTTTCACTATATCATAAGTATCATGGAGTATTGTTATGAAACTTTTTTGAAGAAACCTACTTGAGTAACCTATTTTTAGAAGCTATTATATTTCTTATGCCAGTTTTGACTTTAGTAGACCAGTGGTGTCGTCTCAGGCTTTGAAGTTGAATGATACTAGTTCGAATCTCACTTGGTAGACTATCAGTCCTCTCAACATTGAAGGTTCATGCCTTGCTAACGATTGTCAATTAATATAAAGCCTAAGTCGAACATGGTTTCTTGTTACCCACCTCTAACCTTGTGACAGTTCTGAGTTCACTTCTATGTGAATAATCCCTTTGTTATTTGTATATGAACTGTTAAAGTTGTAAGTAGATTATTTTACGTATTTTTACCTTCTAGTTTCTTTCAGTGTATTCAAATTGCAAGTGTTACAGGAATTTAGGGTTTACTTAGAAAGTACTCAGTATTTCAGTGTTTTAGACCTTTTGAAAGGGAAAGTTGTTAGTGACTTTGGAAATTTTCGACAAAACAGCACCAACAGTATCTGGGCCATCTTTGTTATTGTCGTGATATTAAAAAGTAAAGTTTGCTTTTAAAACGCAAACATGAGAGCAGTTCTGTTTCATGTTTGTGAAATCTGCCCGTCCGAACAGAAAATGATTAGCAGCTCACCATGTTTGTTTGTTGGCTGGTTGAGATACTGTCCGGACGCCCGAGCAAAAGCAGATGGTTTTCTTAGGAGACCATACTTCTATCTCGGCCAAACCAAAACATGGCACAAGTCCATGAAGTCACTGACAAGTGAACTGAGTCATGTTGGTAGGTGTAGACTACCTGGTTGGGGACCGCGAGATGATAGCAACCGATGGTTAGAGACCCTGAATGACATGGCTCAAAATCGTTTGCAATGGCGCAGGTGCATTCACTCTTTGTGTTCTCCCAAATTCTAATCTTCTGAATTCTTCATGTCCCTTTTTTTCTCTTTCCAAATTTCTTTCACTGTATTATACTCTTTAAATAACATCTCCAAACCCTAATCTTCCCGATTACTGCTTATACTCTTATTACCTCTACCACTACGGGATTTGAATCGATAACTGTATCTCTGTGCTAATGTGGTGTGGCAACTCGAACTGATGTACGTACGTACGAAGTTCTACGTTGTTACTGACTGACTGACTGATACTTCTATCCATTGAATTATATTTCTAATTTGCAAAGCAATGAAGAAGAGCCCCCAAATGCGCTGGTACAGCCGGGAGTGGAAAGAGTTAGCTCTCCCTCTCTAAATGCTCTCACATGGCCACGTGCATACAACCACTGCCAGGGAAGTCCCATTCATTGCCTTCTTGCAGCGGGGGTGTTGTTTACGAAATTGAGAGGACGAAAATCGAATGTCCGGCGATTTAACCGGGTTGGTGGACACGGAGAGTCCTTCGACTTAAAGATCTGATCCACAAGGCAGTGGAGCAACGTCAGGAGATGCAGTCCCATGGTAGTCGGTGACCAACAAATAGGTTCATACACCAATTGTTCCTTCAGAATCCTGGAGCCCATGTGCACCATTGGTTTGGAATCAGGGTTTTCCAACTCCCCTTGGTGAAGGCTCCGGGTGTGACCCCCTAAGAAAACCACCTGCTTCGGGCTAAGCACCCGAACAGTATCCCAGCTCTCGCACACATCGATTGGTTGGTATGGTGCATATATATTTGGTGCCTCTTTGTACCAATGCTTATGTGTTTAAATAAATAATAATGTCACGAAACATAGTCCCATGTTAGCTTGTAGGTAAAAATAGGTTCGTTCAGTATTCGTTTCTCCAGGATCCTGTTAAGATGCACACCATTGGTTTATAATCAGTTTCCCAACCCACCCATATAAACTTCATATTCATCAACCCGATTTAAGCTTTGAACGTTCACATTTCGTCGTTTCAGTTTTATAAAAAAATACCCCCACTACATGGAAGTAGGGGCTGCAAACCTGAAATTTAATGGTTAACAGTTGAGAATATCTTAATCATTGTGCCCACTCCACAACAAAATAATATGCGTATGTTGACTATATGTTTTACATTCAATTTTACTCCAAATCAAATAATCATCACCATTGTTTCATTTTCATTCGATCTTCTCTTTTCTATAGATTTGTTGGACGATTTATTGCTTTAGCATTATATCATTCTAGATTTATTGATAATGGTTTCACTTTACCATTTTATAAACGTATGTTAAATAAAAATATCACTTTAGCTGATATTGAAACAGTTGATGTGGAATATTATAATTCATTGAAATTTATTCAGTAAGTTTCTTGTCAGTCTGTTGTATATGTGTGTTTCTGTAATTATTATTAGTAGTAGGAGTAGTATAAGGTTATGGAGATTGTTGAGTTGATATCATGAACCGATCAGTGTTAGACTATCATTGGATGCCTGAAAGCACTAAATGGCCATTTCATCTTAGTTTGGGATTTTCTCAGCAGTGCACATCAATAATCTCTCAACTGGGAATTCAATCTTTAGACCACTGATCCGGGACCCAGTGGTGTGCAAGCCTAACTTCAATCAATCCAAAATATTGCACGACGATTTTCGATTATGTTGGTTAGGTACCTGCCTCACACTGGACATGGATGATTACCCCACCGGTCACGGTTTCTCACATAAATATGTTAGCCTGATTTACCAAATTAAGACAACAAGATAATATTAAAAAGGCGAACGGCATTGGGGTTGTAGTAGCGACGATAATAAAACGACTTAATATTAAGAATACTATTGCAAAAGATGGAATGAAAAGTCATGTATAATGGAACGTTTTAACTCAAGATTTAAATCAAGAGTGAATGTATCTGAACCAATATGACCAGTTCTGAGTCGTATGACTCAAAGTCTTTAATAATTACATTCACCCAAACCAGGTGAGTCTGTGTAAGTCAACATCCTTCAGACCAACAGTCCACGATTTCATGGGTTCGTACTATGTCTTGGTTTGACTTCTCTTACCATCCTTCCAACTTACTCTTGCTCTAGCAAATGTCTCACGTTGAAGTAGGTATCTGTTGGGCATAGATAATACACGTCCCATCCAACTCACCAACTGAAGATTCACTACCTAGTCAACCAGCTTTCCATCTATACCTGATATACCCTGCGTTTAACCTGAGCACTATTCATTCGATGATCCTAACCTACTTGAACAATCTTTCAAAGGTATATATGATTAAAGCCAGTAGCCTGCGAATATCCTTTATTTTTAAAAGTCACATTTCTAAATGACCGGTAGTTTGTTCACTGTACGTTAGTTACAAATGAAAATTGGTCGTTGTCACGCAATTTACATCGTTTAATTCAATCATTGGTGCTACTGCTTAAGTTATTATTAGCGGAATGATTATCTCACCTGACAACTTGGTCTTTTTCTCCTAGAACATTCAATCGATGTGACCAAGTAACCTTATTTCTTTTGAATATAGATCGCTAAAAGGAAACTATGATTAGTAACAGGGACATGTAAAATGAAAATTTCAAATCATTCCGTTCAGTGATCCTTTTCATATTGATTGACATTTCGAAATTATCACGTTTGTTTGGATTAGTGTTATACTTCATTAAGGTCAAGGTCTTGTATTCAATCTTAGATAATCCTAACGGTTAAATTCAGAGGAATCCCAAAGTCTATAGGACGAATAAAAACAACTGTGTTATTAATCACGATAAGTACCTGTTTTGTGAATGTTTTTATCTATCCACTATCGCTAAATTGTATCATTTTTTCTATGTACTTGATCATTTCCATTGTGAAATGACATGTTCTCTGTTTTAGCTTTGATTTCGATGAGGCCATTAAAAGTACAGAGTCTACTAATGAGGGAGGAGTTCACTGTATGATAGCGACCAGATATTCTGAAATTTAATAATCCACTTAAGTTTGTTTTCCTTTTAGACTTCTTAATTGTAACACAAAAACAGCAAACTAACTTACCTTTTTCTATTATTATAACTCAAAAACTCATATGATGATAATATTACATCAATTACAAAATCAATAGGCAACCACGAACAGAAAATCGAAATCTGTACATAATTAGGTCATTTTATAGTTCAAAGTCCAAGTAACAAATTTATTAATTTTTCTGATTGAACGCTTGAATCGGTTACTTAAGCTTTTCTAATGACCTCCATGCTAAATCTAATTGAACACTTGAACACGAGAGAAAAGGTATGAATTGTGGAAAGAACGCTTTACTTCAAAATTAGTTTACGTACGGAAAATCGAGGTTATTTATAGCATTTCAGATGGTCTTTGGCTTCTGGAACCCTATTAAACATAGTAACAGAATAGGTGATCATCTAATCAGAAATGTGACATGTGACTCTTCACTTTCTAGATGTCTATGACAAACTTCTATTGAATACTGATTGGATAAAATGTTTCCCAGTGTCCTCAGGGTCCCTCTAGGTTCTTTTCAAGGAATACTTTGAACCTCCTCAACACAAATGGATGATGTATTAACCGTAACTTTTTTTAATGTAAGAGACTTAACAATATGTAATGCCTTCAAACGAAAACTTACTACTATGGCTTTGTAGAAATACTGTAAACCAGATCTTTAATAAACTCACGATAAAATTATATCAAAATAGGTAAGTTTGTGGAGATTGTAGCATTTTCATAGTCTATCTCATGAACTGATCTTATCCAAATAGACCATTGGTGTAAACCAGCTATTTCGTTCTTGTATAGGACTGCTCAATAATGCATACTCAGAATTCTATGGTTAGAACAAAACACTTCCTCAAGGATCGATCCTAGGAGCTTCAGGCATTGGGACGAGCTTTTGACCACTTAACCTGCATCTAATAGTGTCCATGTGTAACCTCAATCATTTCGCAATATCGGGGGCAACCATCTTCCATCACTTACAACAGATAACTGTCTCACACTCGACATAGTTGAACTCCACTCCTAACGGTTCGTGACTAGAACTCCTGAAATCGTCTGTGAAAGTTATTGATTAGTGATTACATGATTGTTTTTCGTGTGATGGTTGTGTTTGTGATTTATGGTGATATTAGAATTGTCATAGTTGACACCATAAACTGAACTTAATTAGGCAGTCATTGAATATCAACTGTCCGGTGCTTTCAGAGTTTTTAATGAGGATCTGGTTAAGATCACTTAGTGATTTAAACTATAAACTTATATGTAACATTCGACGTTTTTCACTTATTCATCCATATATAACAATGATTCACCTTCTTAATTTCCGAATTCATCTGTCTTAATTGTTCAATTTATTAGTATTGTGCTACTGAATAATAACTTTCGTCATTGTTTTTATTTCGTCTTCATTACACATACAAACAAATAGAGAGAATAATATCGATGAATGCGGATTAGATGTCTACTTTGCTATGGATTATGAAGTATTGGGTGAACTACGAACGCATGAATTGAAACCAGGCGGTAGAGATATTCTATTGACTGATGCAAATAAAGCTGAGTATATTGAGTAAGTTTTGTTTTGTGCACTTCATCATTTGTTTAGCTTCATTCATTTTAATTCAATTTTAAATCAATTTTTGCCATTTCTTGTCGTTTCCAAGTGGTCTGGTTTAATTATTTTGTCCAATTATTGATGAGATTAGATTAGATGATGGTTGGAAGTAGTCAACAGGAAACCCTAGACCTAAGTTTCGTGCTATTTGAGACTTGTCAGCAAGGTGTACCTGTAATCTTGATGGATCTGATGATCCTTGGCCGATTCATTCGCGTGTCACTCAGAGTCACAGTCAGAGACGTTACCACTGACCTACTCGAGCCTCGACAAACCCACTGTAGGACTAAGGTGAATTTACAATTGATTGATCATTACCCAGTGATCAATCTGTAGTTATCATTATCACTCAAACACTCATGAATGTGTACACATACATAAATTACCAAATCACAACACACACATACCAAATAAGAAATTATTATTTATACATAATCAAGGCATATGTTTCAGACCACGAGGAAAATGGATTGGTAATTAATGAGGGTTAGTGAAGGAACAGTAGAGCGTGTAACCACAGCTTAAAATACAGGGAATATAACGATACAATATTTTTTTTAGCAATTGTGTAATAAATACGTATATGATGATATGTAAGATAGGCCCAAAAGTTACCACTTTCTCGATTTTCTCACCGTTGTCACAAAATAATGCTGTAATTAATTAAAATTCACCATGTTGCACAAACAAGTGGGTATCTGTACTCATCAAATAGTTGAATAAAACGTTGAGCGTTAGAAAGGACTAAATTCGAATCACGGTGTGAAAATCACCGGGGTGCAGGTACACTTAGCTGAAAACTCCTAAATAGGATGAAATACATTTCCTGGATTCCATTACTAGCCACCATCCAACTCTGTTTCAATACTTGTGGCGTAGTCAATATATCGAGGCCATCCACACAGAATGTATATACGCCTAAAGAAACTGATCATATGCAGTCGGTATCATCGGAAAAATTCAAACAACCAGTATAAATGAGTTAACCTCTCGAAATGCTCGCAAATGGCCACGCGTATACAGCCACTGACAGGAAAGTTCTACTGACCGCCTCATGGGGAGGGGGTGTTTACAAAATTGAAAGGACGAAAAGCGAATGTCTGGCGCTTTAGCCGGGTTAGTAGATATGGAGGATCCACCTATGGAAGTTGGAAAACCCTAATTCCAAATCAGTGATGCGCATGGTCTCCAGGATCCTAAGGAAACAAATGGTGTATCAATCTATCGTTGGTCACCGGCTACCATAGGACTGCATCTCTTTATGTTGTTTTACTACCTTATGGACCAAACCTTTAAGACTTAGGCTCCAAGTGTGGCCTCCTAAGAAAACCTCCTGCTTCAGTTTGGGTACTTGGGCAGTATCATAGCACACTCACAAATCAAATGACTTGTGTAGCGCATATGTATTCGGTGCCTCTTTGTACCAATATCTATGTTCAAATAAAATTTTAAAAGATAAATTCACCAGAAAGAATCTTATTGTCTTGATTTACATATTTATTGAACAAAACATTTTAGTACTCACTAATAGAATTCAGTTAAAGAGGTTTTTGAAGAGACTCGTCCAACTTTTAGGTTAGATTTGTCACAGATTGATCTCAGTAGAGGATAGTCTTTTTTAAATGTAGGTCTACTCGACAGTTTGTAATCATAGACTCCTAGCAGCTATCAAATCCATAACGTTCTGGTTTCTCAGTTAACACTTGACCATCAGAACGTTTGATTCAGCCTCCAATGATAGTCATTAATACTATCAGACTGGTCAAATGGAAGTAAATGTAGTGAATTTTTAGTCGTTCAGTTGATAGTATGTCATTCAAAGGTCTCTTCTAGTTTTTTTCTAAGTAGTAGCTACCAATAAATGATAAGTTTACTGATATAAATCTATAGAGGTCTTTCTAGAGCTCTTATATCAGTGAGCGTATATTATGGGTTGGCACTTTTAAATGACATCTCAGTCCTACTACAGGATATTAATCGCGGCCCGAATAGACTAAGGGTTATGTCTCAGTTTATGAAGCTGATTGATACGGGTTTCGAATCCTCAGGGAGTTTTCGTCTTCTCTATACTCCAGGTACACCTTGCTGACGTTCTTCAACTAGCATAAAACCTAAGTTGAACAGACTTTCATTCTATTTCCAGCTACTCAAAATGATTTTCCAATAATATCAATAATCTAGGCAGATTCACCACATAAAATGAAGATATGTGATTCTGTTTGAAAGAGGCGATGAAAAAGCTAAAAATAATCTAATCATGAATTATCTTGAGCTCATCACGGTGAAGCAATAAATATATCCGGCTGTTAGTTACTAAGGGGGAGATGACTGGAAGTGTATGATTTCCTCCATTCGTAAGGTAATAAGTGTGGGGCTTGTCAGTAGTGGGCACCCAATACCCTTTCAAGCATCAATTCCAGGAGCATCAGATATCGAAACAGTCTTTTAACCACTTAACCTTCATCTAATAGTGTCCATGTGTAACCTCAATCATTTCGCAATATCGGGGGCAACCATCTTCCATCACTTACAACAGATAACTGTCTCACACTCGACATAGTTGAACCCCACTCCTAACGGTTCGTGACTAGAACTCCTGAAATCGTCTGTGAAAGTTATTGATTAGTGATTACATGATTGTTTTTCGTGTGATGGTTGTGTTTGTGATTTATGGTGATATTAGAATTGTCATAGTTAACACTAGAAACTGAACTTAATTAGACAGTCATTGAATATCAACTATCCAGTGCTTCCCAAGTTTTTTTTTCTTTTGATGACTTTCTAACTCAGATCAGTCCATGTTGTTAAACTATGAAGATTTAACAAATTTTTTTTTACCAACTCCCTTATTATTAAAATATTCATAAGTATACATGCAAATAATTTACCATTAGACTGTTTTTCTCTCTTGCATAGCAACAATCATGTCTTCTTAAATAATTATATGCCATCCTGCTATATTTAGCTTGAGTATTACACTTCATTCAATAATACTTATATATATATATATATTTCTCTTAACAAACCGATTGTGTTTTTTTTGTAATGTTACTTTGTGCTTCAAGCTGTTGATTTTATTGACGAGTGTCATAATAGTAGTAATTCATATAATATAAGCCAGTTTTTCATTGAATGTTGTGGTACATAACGTATTATTGATAAGATTCTCTCATTGTTTCACACAATTCATGGGATGTGGATAAGACTAAAGTTAGATATTATAATCACTTTTTATGCGATTTCAACTCGTCTTAATTTATTCAGTTCGTAATTGGTTGGGTTTTTTTGAGTCAACTAATTAGGAAGCATTGAATAGATATATCGCTTTAGTTTGGGACTGTTCAGTAGTGCTTATCCACAACCTCAGCTATTGTTGAAGGACTGTACTTAATAAGTTTTTGTTAAAGGACATTATATTTGAAAAGTTTATTAACATCTTGAAGGCTCTATACGAAAACACCCTAGTCATGTTGAGAAAAAAAGAAAGAAAAATAACTTCTCAGCATTAGAATCCTGTAATAGTCTTAGGCAAGGTTCTATCAATTCACTATTCCACTTAATATCGTCACATCGCCATGCAATTGTCAGTATAACTTCATCCTCAAATCTTAAGCTTTCTACACTTAGTCTTACTGCTCTCCAACAGATGCATGTAGGATAAAGTGTTCCAGTCAGTATTGATGGACTTTATCATTACGATATCCTAGTCCGATCGTCACGTCGAGGTAACATCTGCTTCCCTCTAACCGTATGAAACCTTAAGTCCCTGATCCGAACATCCGAAGGGTGAATACATTAATCACTTTTCCACAACTTATGTGATTAATTCCATCCTATTCTGTTGAATATGAACGGTACTAGGTCCGAGTCTCTAAGTGAACATCAACCCTAAGATTTAGGTACATCCAACCGACGAGTTCCAAACAGGACGAAACGCGCATCCCAGATCCCACTGCCAGCCATCATCCATCTTTACTTATAGTGCTTGTGATTTAAAGCAATCCGGACAGGATGCACATATGCGAGTAAGATACTGATCAATTGCACTCCTTTAATGTCAATGGGAAGATTCAAACAAACAATATAAAAATGAATTAACAAAATATACCACAATTTTGTTTTCTATTCTATCATAGTATCAGCCAATTTTTGAATTAAGTACAAAATCCACTGTGAAATCATCATCTGTACTCGTGCAATTATTAATCAATTGTATTTATTCGCATATAGTACTCATAGCCGTTTATTTCTTTCGATTAATATCTTGCTTTTACCCTAGTAGTCACGTTTACAATACTAATATACATGTATATGAATGTATATTGAATGTTTAATAGTTTCTTTTTCTTTCTGTTCTGATCACATTTTGTTAATGATCATTTATAGAAAAGGCCATTTTATTGTTAGACAGACTAATTTGTAGCTTTAATGGCTTCAACTTGATGTTATAATCTATAAAAAAAGGAGCGAAATCGTTGAAACACTTTTCTTCCTACATGATGTTATGACTTATCAACTCGATGTACTTGCATTCCAGTGTTGATGTTTATTTTCGGCATCAAATGTAGTTCTTCGCGCTTCGAATGTTAACAACGAGTTATCGATTGAGCTACTGAGTACCAATAGCTATTCAGTTGTTCAACGATCGTGATTTTATTATCATTATTACTTAGGGTTTGAGTTATGATTATATCAGATAGATCCACATATTCAGGCATATATGTCAACAAAGATTGATCGAGATTTAGTCTTGAATATTAAATCCTTACTAATAATGATAGAAATATGAGAATCATCGAGTATTAAAAAAAAACAATGATATTCGAGAGGTAATGAGTCAGTCAGCCGAATGCAACATAGTTTCTAGAAAATGTATACATCGATTCAAGTTGCCATATCCCATTTGACATCACTATCCATTGCTTACGATAATCACATGAACCCCAGCCACGTAA